CACTGTGATTGCAATCAACATTGCTGTGTTTTGACCTTACAGCAAAGTTGGCTTGAAAAAGTCGAAACCTCCCTTCACAATCAGCGGCTCCGTAAAATAACCAGTGTTTGGCATTCGGAAAACTCCGACACAATGAAAGGAGCCCACCTCATTTTTCACATCCTTAAGCAGCATGAAGTTTATTTTTAAAGCTTGCATTACTGTTTGTGTAGTTAAAAGTAATACCTTATTTGATTGCACCTTAATTTTTGTATGTTGTTCTGTCTTTGTAGGTAACTTTGCATTATTGTATTAAAGCTTTCTTTAATTCCTCTTTTTTTTATCTTGACACAGAAGTATTCCAGTTGATAATTCAAAACCAACGCTGTCTCTTCTGATTCTAGAGTACACACAAAGCAATCAATTCATATGTTAATAGATATTGTCGTGCAATTTAACTTTGTCGGTTTTGATTTGTGTCACTAGAAACCGACAACATGAGGTGTCTCGTGATGATAAGTCAGTTTTGCTCACTCAGAGAAACAGAAAGAAGAGACAGCGTTCACTGCTGATAGTAACTGTCTGAGGCAAAGGGAAGAATATCTCACCAACCCAGCCACAGGAACCAGGCACATCAGTTTTCTTATAAACTGCGGGTGACTTCCCTCTAAATTCACATCTCTACCGCCCATCTGAAACTTTCTATGGTTAGTGGAACTACAATGTCTCACTGTTTCTCCTCTACTGAAACCAGAAGTTGTTTGCTAAAAATTTTATTTTCCTCAAAACAGTTTGCAGTGGGGTGACGATGTTGCCTATCGCGTTGAGTGAAAAACAATCATTTATGCTCTTGATGTCTCAAAACAGAACTCCAAAGGTTTTGACAAAGGCTAAAATACATGTTATTGTTCATTTCTGGCATTTTATATGTTGGATTGATTCCCTATTTCGTAGAAGAGAAACCTACATTGTGTGCTATTTTTTCGGTGATAGCTTTACATACTAAAAGGATTCTGAATTAGTGGTTTTGATTGTATATAGCACATGCCTTATATCTGTATATTGTATCTGCGTATTATATTTATGTAAATTGAATGTATTATTTAATTTTTTGAGTGATTTATTGTTGATGGTTTGTTATTACATCAACTGAAAACAATAAAAAAGTTTCAAAAAAGATTTTTTTTAATCAAGCAATTAGTTCGACAATGTATAAAAAGAAGATACAATAGAAAGAGCAACTTAGAGACAAAATGTCTTACATGCCACTCCTTAGGATTTTGCAGAAGTGCCCTTTAAACTATATGCCTTCGGTCATCCTTCAAGGAGCGCTTTTCAAACGCTTGCTCATATCTTATATACTCAGACCCAGGTATAAATTAAACTAGACTTTCCCTGCAATATTAGAAAGATGCAGAAAATACAAAGAGGACAGGATTGACTCATTTTTGAAGATAAGTGAAGTTAAAAACAGAGGATAATTCTTATTAAGTAATAGTATATTTCCATTAGATGTGCATACCTATGTGATTATATTCATTAGGTTTGAGCTACCTGCTGTACCTGTGCGCCCCACTTTGACAAAAAACTAAGACGTGCTGCATTTTAGCTTGTCTGGTGGAATTTTGTTCTCTACTCAAGTTTCACATCTACGAAGGCCTACATTAACTTTCTAATCTTCTTTAAAAAAATATTTCAGCTCAGGTTTATGCATATGGTTGAGACTGAGGATGAAAGTAAAGAAAAAAAGCAGATGACAAGAAGAGAGTGAGAAAGCGCTCAGAGAGGATAAAAATTCATATTTTTAAGATTAATGATGTTTTAATCTTTAAACAGATTAAGACAGGGTTAGAAAACTCAGATGAATTTGTTACTTACCAACAGTAGAGTGACGCAATGCACCAAATTCAAAATTCATTGTGAAACAGTCCTTATTTAAATATTCTTTAAACATTCATTGACACCAGAAGATCCCATTATGCTATGCTGAACTGGATATGAGGAATTATAATTATGTATAAATATATTTGTACTGTAATAGTACCTTTTAATGTTTGATGTTATGGGTATGCGATGGCATTACTCTATTCTGTATTAGAGAGGAAAGTCATGTTTTATATTTATGGCACTATTGATTTGCACTGTTCCAAAAAAAAAAAAAATGCATCTGTACATAAGCTGCAACAAGCCATGCAGATCAGCTTGCAGTCAGTGGCAATTAGGTATGCATGAATGGAGAGCTGCATGTTCAATGTGTGCTTCACTTTTTGGTTTCTTGCAAACACGTGTATAATTTAAAAATGATAAATGTGCCTTTCATATGACATTGCGTTTCTAAATAAATAGCTTACGACACAATTAGAACCAAACTGATAACTCCAATTTCAAGTTCTCACAAAGAACACTTCTATGTGGAACCTGTTCAAAAAACACCTAGTCAAAGCCCATATACTCTAGAGTCAACATGTATCAGAAATTTAGCTCAAGAGTCAGCAATGCGCATACAGTTGATGTAAATGATGGAGTACAGTGAGAATACCTCTGATCAATAAAAAGTAAGATTAGCAATATCACTGTTGTAAAATATTCTTGTGGCATAAGATATGATCACATACCTTATAGTTTGTTGGTCCCCTTTTCGCCAAAGACAGTACTGATCTATCAAAGCATGAAATTTACAGGATGCACAAAAGTATGCTATGTACTCTGGGAACAATATGTAGCCAACCTACGGTATTTTTCAAGATTTTGCTGTCAAAAGTTCCTCAGGTTAGCAGTCCTCTTCCTTCATTGGCATCTGTGTGATGTAAAAATAACCAACAAAACAAAAGGACGGCATCTGTCATTAAAACCGACCACCTTCTTCCATTGCTTCATGGTCCAGATCACACTCTGATGTCTATTGTCACATCCATTGTTGGCACTTTCAGTGGTATGAAGGCACCAGCATGGGAACCCTGACCAGTCTGCAGAAATGTTGCCCTGTTAGCAACAAACTGAAATGAAATGACATTTGGCACCATCTCCTCACACACACACATGATGCTCTCAGCAATCTAAGATAAAGTTGCTTGTTTGTTAGATTGCACCAAACTGGATGGTTTTTGCTCCTTAACAATGATGAAAAGAGACACCCAAGCATAACCAACATCATGACCAATGACTTGTGGGTTGTCACTGGTCATAAAGTTGATCCTGACTCTTACAGCCTTTTAACTTGCAATACCAGGGACATAACACGTTTTTCACTTTGCTTTGTTATTTCTTAATCTCATGAAATCATGACATCCTCTCTGTAAAAATTAAATGAGCTTCACAAGGTTCCACAATTCTTTGATTCTATCTTTAAAAAAAAAAAAATGTGCACCATGTTCAATTGTAGTTGTTTGTCAGGCATTGATAACAGCAAAAAGCTAACCATGATTCAACAACTTGTAGGGCCAACTCTAGTCGCCGTGACTTGACGTTGTTAGTTTCTGTATGACTTTATCAGTTTCCCACATCATTGTGGAAGAATTGTTGCCCACTCTTCTTAAAAACATCATCTCACTTCGCTGAGGTTTCCGGGCATTTGTTTCTGTAGTTCCACGGCTGTCTGAAGTTCCTGCCACGGCATTTCACCCTAGTTGAGGTTATAATTTTGAGTAGGCTGTTGCAATACCTTGATTACCCCTTACACAGCTTACGATTTGCTGTTATGTTTGTCTTGTTGATGACCATATTTCAGGTAAGCTCTCACTGTCACATGAGTAGCTTCGCATTTGATTGTGGAATATTTTAGAATTAAAAGGAGCTTATGGTTCTCTCTGGGGCTTCAATGCAGCCCAAATCATCCCCTCCCTTTGTGCTTGACAGCTGGTGAGGTGCTGTGCAGATTTCCTGCGTGTTCTGTGCAATTCTACAGAGGTATGTTCTAAAGGGTTTGCTACAGCCTCTCCAATAAATCCACACTTCTTGGCTGATGCACCAGTGGAATACCCCGACCTGTAGGAAAATACTCACACAATGTGACTTTGCCACCAAGACATAGAGGAGCCAGTGTTTCCAAGCTTGCAAGATCCCCTCATTTTCTTACAATTGTCGTTTTGGCCAAATATTTAAAATTTAGATCACAGGGGATATCTTTAAAAAGTAGAAGTCTTTTTTTTATGAGTGAATTTAACCTGGCTTTTTATGTTGGTTTCGGAGAAATTATTTCTTCCTCTCTGAGTGGCTGCTTGGACCATTTCAGTACACTACGGGTATGATCATTTTTACTAACGGCAATCAGCATTTTTCAAAAGGTATTTAGCTTTTTTTCATGCTAAATACACACATTTTACACAAAGAGACGTGCAACTTTAGGACAGAGAAACAGTCTCCTTCCTGAAAAGAAACAATGGGAGATAATTATAAAGTTTCATGATGTGGCTATATGTAAAAACCTAGACTATACCATAAATATATATCTATACTAATATACATATTAAATAGAAGATTATTAAACAGACTAGACAGGATTCAGTTCTCTCTTTGCTTTGAGTCATTCAGACAAGAAATACTTATCATAATACTTTGTAATAATCATCATTTAAATAAATAAGTGCTTTTCCCATATAGAAGGAAAAACCAAAAATTGTCTCACTTCCTCTAAACGTCAGTGCGCATAAGAAGAAATAGGTCACATAATGTTTTTAATGGTATCTGGAAAAAAAGCTAAGGCCTGCTGTTTTGATGGGTTCCTTTTCACCATGGCTAAAAAAAAAACAATATAGAACTGTGCTCTGGGATTTTTTCAAAGCTTGGTGGATGTATGTGCAGAGGAAGCATTTGTTTCCTAGTTTAGGTGCGTAAAAAAAACCACAGCACGAGTTCCTGTAGTTCATCTGCAATTGGGGATCCCGTACATTGTCGCACACATGTTTTGTTTCAGGGTTTTCCTGCTTAAATGTGTCATTTGTTTACTCAGAGACCGAGAACGTTATCGGTGGAATTTTCTAGAAGAATCCAAAGTAATGGTTTAATCACACCCAAGTCAAGGCTGAAATACTAAATAAATACATTTATTTTTAGAAACACAACATAGTCTCAACAGGATGTACTCAAGAATGGCTGTTTGCTGAGGCACAAGAGGCTAAATCAAAAACAGCGATCTGTTAGATATCAGATCGCAGTGAAAAACTGATTTATGCTTCTTTTTCTGCTCCATTTAATACTGGAGGAGTACCATAAGTAGTTCTCCATTTAAAAGAAAAAAGAACCTGAAAGACGACACGTCACAGACGGAGGAGGTGAAATGAAATGTTAAAGTGGGTAGCTGTCAAACTGTTTTTTTCACAGTTCTCCTCGTACCGGTTTCATTTCCGGCATGTGCAGTTTAGTCAGTCAACGATACACCCAGAGAAGCAGGTTCGAAGAACTTCTTCAACCAACAAGCTCAAAAGGCATCAGTAATGGTTAATAGTCAGTAGTTTTGCCGTTTAACTTGTTTTTTCTGCCCCGCCTGGGTTAAAACCAGAGTGCAACTTGATTTGTTTCGCCCCACCAGCTGAATCCTTCAGAGCATTTTGCAATCTATTCACTTCCGTTCCAAACTATTCAATGTGATGTGTACGTCAGGAGGGATGCATGAATAGTGTTGCAATTCCACACCATTTAGTCAGTTGCCAGCTGAACGTCACAGAGGGAGAGGGATACATTGTTCATGTTGCTGTCCTGTTCGTATTTTGACTTCAATAGGGGAAATGTGTCAGAGACATGTAAAAATGACTCTTCCAAGTTTGTTATAAGAGAGTCCATGTGTGTTTTGCCGACTCTTGAGTCCACCAGGTCAGTTGTCCCACCAAGGAGCACGTTTTCGATACACACTGCTCTGCACAGTTTGGTTCCTTCGGGTCCATAACTGCCGTGTCTGTGGCACCAGCTGCACTGGCCTGTTTGTGAACAGATACAGGACTGTGGCCCGGGTTTGTATCCTGTCACCACGTCAGCCATGACTGAGTGTGCAGGGATCTGTTTTAACATGTTCTCACCATCTCTGCTTTGAACCTGCATCTCAGACGGCCTCTGGGTGCGGTAGTTCCCAACAATGACTGTCTCGACAAGAGGTTTTGTGTCCTGGCTGTCAAGTGTCAAGAAAGAGGAATGGTGTGGGCAGCCCAAACCCATCCCACTGTCTTCCCTCTTGCTGACATCATCCGCTTCCATGCTTTCATCCTGCATAGGGTAATCTGTGTGACTGTGGGCTGAGCTCTCCGGGCCTCCCATGCTCCCACAGCCGCTGTCCTCTTGTCTCTCTTGACGTTGTCCTCTGTTGTCTGCCGCGGAGTTCGCCTCTACGCTGACCCCACTGTCCAAGCTGGTCCTCCTGTTCTCCTCCTCGCCATCCTCTATTATTGTAAGGCTGGTCTCGGGGAGATTCACTGCGGGTTTTGCCTCCAGTCTGTAACTGGAAATAAACCATCCTTTGTCCGTGACCACCTCCATGGACCCTTCTGTGACAGAAAGTGGCTGCCAGCCACTCACAGGGGTTTTCTGAAGCGGGGAAGAGAAGATGAAAAGAAATCATGAGGCATATCATATTTTAACCATTTTCATTTGTGTTTTTTCTTTAAACTTACCAATACTACAGGCGTTTTTGCAGGCCGTTTTAGGTAAACCAACAGAATGCCGATAGCAACCATAACAAATACCAGGGTCCCAAGAATAGATAAGGATGATACAGCTATAATGTAAAATTCTGAAAGAAGAAAAACAAAATTTCCGTTTTACAAACCGACCAGTTCAAGGCGAAAATATACAAACACAAGAAACTGAGGCAGTTTTAGGGAATGTTTTTTGCTGTATTACATGCCATCGTCTCGAGTGATGGAGGTAATTTTTCTTCATTAACAAACTTTTCCACATTTTGTAATGTTGCAGACAGAAACTTAATTGTATTTTATGTGCTTGACCAAAACAAATTCAGACGTAGAGTTATTTGATGCAAAAATTCAGTTGTATAAGTGTATATTGATGAGGCGCGTCTTGGACGCGCCGCTACCAGCTTTGCTCTAAAGAGACTGAAATGTCTGCTCAGTCATAGCAAAAAAGCTCAAGTTCAGTCAAATTGAAAACGAAGCATCTCTGAGCACCAAGTTTCAAGTCTTGCTATACACTCTAAATTTAATTTAGCTCTGGCTGTATGCTGAGGGTCGTTTTCCTGAACCTCTGCCTTGAAGTCTCAGGTCTTTTGCAGATTCTTCCAAAACTAACTCTGCTCATCCATCTTTCCATCAACTCTGACCAACTTCCTACTGAATGATTCTATCATCTCCATGTTTTACAATAGAGAAATGGTGTGTTCAAGTGATGTGCAGTAAGTTTTCAGTCGTGCATAATACTTTGTGCATAGGCCAAAAAATAAAAATCTGTTTTTGTCTCATCTGACCAGGGGAAATTCTTTTTGTCTGGTGTTTCCCTTATTCCCTAGCTTATTGCAAAATGGAGAGCTTGGAAACAACGCACACTTCTTATTACATCATTTTCCACAAATATCCACATTTTTGATATGTGTATATATGATGTATAGAAGAGAATACATCTTATACATTTCTTATTAAAATCTAATAAATGGTAGATTTTCAAAAATGACCTTAAATTTTCTGTGATAGATATTTGTACAGAATTATAATTCATCTTTTTTTCAAAAGGTTATGTAACATTGATGGCTCTATAGATATTAGAGTAAAGAGGGCTCAGTGAAAACTTATGATTCACTTTTGTAGATTTAAAAAAAAACTAATTTGTGGTTGCATCGTGACAAAATGTGAAAATGTTAAAGATTTTGAATAATTTTGAAAGGTTCTCTAAGTTACTGGTAAGTGTAAACAATTTACTTTACCTTGCTCTGGGAGGAGCAAGCACTGTTTTGCAGACATGTTGCTTTTGCTGGTAACACCTTTGCCTTTGACTTCGACGCTGATGCAGTACTTTTTTCCCCACTGGAGACCAGTGAACATCTTCTTGCTCCCTTCCTCATCATCTTCCAGGTAAACTGTGGTACTCTGGCAATCAAAAAAAAAAAAAAAAAAAAAAAAATTATGTTTCTGGAGTAAAGTATGTGGATTTTACTCAATATCCATTTAGTTTATTACTGCTTTTAATGTGTGAGTTTAAGTGATATTGTGGTTACAGAAGGCTATGCCCTGTCTAATTCTCTGACTCACCTTGTTTTCTCGATCAATTTCCTCCAAATACAATGTGTAGACAACTCCATATGGAAAGATTTCTCTCAAGATGGGTTTTTCATGGACATGGACTGTAAGTGTGCTGGAAGTAGCCCAGAGACTAAAGGAAGGAGGCTGCAATTCACCTTTGAATAGAGAAGAAATTGAAAATTATTGCAACTAAAGCTGAGTTAATCTTGATACAATTACTTCATCCCTAACTGAAATACTTACCTTCATTTAATAAAAATCTTTTCCCTCTTTTCCAGTCAGATTGCTGATCTCCTTTGACAAGCTGAACTCTGACTTGATAGGCAGCTTGATATTCATTTCTTTTTTTTATATCTGCGGTAAGGATGCAGAAGTTTCTTGCGATCCCCATGCAGCTGGATACATTATCCCAGTGTTCTGCGACATACCTGAAGGCAGAATTTTCACCAGTCAATAAATGAGAAAAATGCGACTAATCTGAATGTACGGTCTTATAAAAGCTGAACTGCTACTGAAATGTGTAACGCCAGTAGCAATTCGCTATCTGAAAACAACTTCAACATACTTTCTCATTTGGACATTATACACTGTTTCTGATGGAGCATTTTCAGGATTTTCCCACCGAACCGTTACTTCATCTTCTGAAATATGCACTTCCACATTTCTAGGCGGTTTAATGGCTGATCCTGTTTCAAAAAAAAAAAAAAAATTAAAAATTAAAATCTAAGCATCTGCTTGTACAGTCATTTTAACGTTTCCAATCACTGATTGGTTTTACATAACTTGTAAAGAGGAAACATCTGCAATGTACATTTATGCTAAATATATACTGAGAAGAGGTATCTTTAGCTGTTCTAGAGACAAGAAAAGAGGAAGTCTAGCTGCAAATCATAGGATTTGTAATGACACTAGGGATTTTTTTCAGAAGGGGAACAGAGCATTACCCTTTGCTATGTGTGTGTCCTATTCACGAGAAAGAAAGAGAAAATGTTCAAGTTGAACCCAAAGGTCAAATAAGTATTTAAGTTTTTGGGTAAATATCAGTCAAAGTGTGATCAATAAAAATGATGAAAAATTGACTTTATATATTAAGATTTACTCATGCTATATTTACTCCATTTACAATTTTCCACCAAAGTTTAGAAGTAAAAATAACTTTAAAAACTTGTTTTTATTCACAACTTATTTATTAATCCTATCAAAGGCGGCGATGTGGCTTATTTATAAATAAGTTGTGAATACTCTCTGTATTAACTACTACTATAAATTATTAAATTTTGCCATCCACTGATATTGAAAAGTCAGTACGATCAGTAAAGTTTATAATTACCTGAAACATGTCCGATGAATACGATTAGCACGACCAAACTCAGTGGCTGATATTTCTTATCCATTTTCACGCCCTTGAGAAGGATATAAACACGCAGTCAGAATCCTTCAACAACTTCCAGCAAAGTCCTTCATTCCAGTGATCAGTGAGGGATCACTGAAACCATTATCAGTGTAGAATCCTATCAAAGGCGGCGATGTGGCTTTCTCTTCAGTGACAGCTGTCGATATGAAGAAAAAAATAAAACCTTCCTCCAGATCTGCTTTTGCTCCCTCCCCGCCCTCCAGATGATGAGTTTCCTGCTGTGACATAATCAGTGACGGGGTTTCTGGTTTCACATCTCTCCTCCTCTCGCAGCCTTTACTTCCTCTTTTCTTTTTGCCTTTTTTTCCTTTCCATACAGTCACAGTGCACAGGCTACTCTGCCATCTCACTGTACAAACAGAGGAAAGAGGAAAGTATTGGGAATACCCCTTTCACTTTTTTTTTTATGACTTTCATCATTATTATTTTATGAAAAGTAGCACTACATTGTGGGGGAATTTTTATGTCTTATCTTCTTTCTACACAAGTTTACATACTCTCTATCTGAATTTACCAGTCACAGGCTACATCAGAAAGGCCTAATTCATTCTCAGCTGCATTACAGTATGTTTGTTTCAGAAGACTTGTTATTGATGACCCCTGATTCATTACTTGGATCCATGTGGGTCCTTTTCACCATAAATTACCATCATTTTAATGTATAATTACATCATAACCTTAACAAATATACCCCTTGAACCTTCCGTGTTTTGAAGGGAAACAGCAAATGTCACAGACCTTTTTTGGCCTACATGCAATACTGTCTGCATATATACATACCATCTCTACCATTGTGATGGTAGCAACATGGAATCATTGTCTTCAGGAAGGACAGTCAGATTGGTTTGAGTTAACGAAGATGGGTGGAGATAAGTACAGGCTGAAAGCTGTTGGAGGGTGCATAAAAACTTAAGACTGGAGTGCAGGTTCACAAACATACCGCAGCAGCAACAATGGCTTGGTTTTCTATTAAACCATGATGTTCAAAGAGGGTTGAGACGTACCACAAAGAACATGCAGCTGTAAAAAAAAAAAAAAAAAAAAAAAAAAAGCTCACCACACCTTCACAGTTTTTGTTTTTGCAAAAAGATTCAAAAACTAGTTTCCACTGCTATGCAATCTTTGTGTTGACCTGAAGTTATATAAACTCAAAAAAAACAAGTTACCGAAGCTAACATAGTGTTCAATGTAATATACTATTACAAAATGTGAATAGCATAGTACATTGTCAATTGCACATTATACTCTTACATAATGTGGAAAAGTTATTGGTGTGAATACTTTTACAATACACTAATGGGTGCTGGAAGCACTTTTATTAAGTGAATTTTTTATTCCAATGAAAAGTTTTGGAGAAAGAAGCTAGTTGGGAAAGAGAAGAGGGAGCCGGTTCCACTGACAGACTGCAACTCTTATGTTTTGAGCCATGTAGTTCAAGAATACACCATGACTCCAACGTTTCTGGGCGGGAACGGTTGGAACTGGACATCTGTCACCTCCAAGCCACTGAATAGTAATGAACAAACCTATTAATTCAATTCTGGCTTAATTCAAACAAGTTCTGCATTGTTAAGTGGTTTTATTGTGTCAGTGACACTTTAAATGTTTAAAGTTAGGCTATGTGATTATGACTGTCCATATGTGATAGGCTCGTTTAGGATAATTTGTTAGCATAATCATAGCATATTTAACATGCTAGCATAAGCAGCTACTTGTAACTAACATGTTGCTAATACCAGTACCATATTTTCTGGACTATAGGGCGCACCTTATTATATTTCTCTCCTGTACTCCTCAACTTAAAAGCGGCGTTTTTTTCTTTGTGTTGTTTCCATGATGAGGGGGTATGAGTTTGAAGAAATTTCTCCGTTGTCCCTGCTGCTAGCATGTGCTTGTTCTAAATTAAAATGAGCGCTTTCTTCTTTTATTTCCAATTTTGACTTTCAATGATTTACTTCCTGCTAAAGAGTTGAAGAAAAATTCACAGAAAAGCCCGCACCGGGCTGTAAGCCGCGTGGTTCAAAGCGTGGAAAGAAAGTAGCGGCTTATAGTCCGAAAAATACGGTAGTTAACTCTGTCTGCTATTCATGTTCAGATTTACCAATGTGGAAAGAATAACCTGTTGGTAACACCATTATGTTAGCTAGAATGTAATTAGTGTTATTCACTGTGCTAACAGAAGACTGCATGCTTTCATTACCAAGAGTGTAAACCCAAGCTGATATTTTGACACCTGGGGGTCCAAGTCCAGTCCCCCCAAATATGCTATCCTGCTTTTTGTTGGTTTCCTTCTCCAACACTCTTGGCCCAAATTATTTGCACATTACCAAGCCTTTGCTCTGCAGCACTAAATACACATGCTGATGAAATATTGATTCAGGTGTGTTGCACAATGGATGCATCTAACACTTGTTAGATATTTTTCCTCAATCACTGGACTTTGGGCATCCACATCTTTAGCAGCAGCATGATGGTTAGAACTATTATGTAACCTAACATAAATTACACCAGACTGACCGGTGATTCAGCGATTCTTGTAAAACTTCCTTAATAAACTAGTGAAAATGTAAAGTATGTAAGTCATTATTATTTTAATCATAGAACAGTAGAGAAGTTCCCTTTGGGCTTCGCAGAACTTCATTTACTTATTTTGAGTTCTTCTCCAAAACAACTTGTTGTTTTTCATTTCTGAGAAACAACATTTCTCTTCAGTAAAGAGAGGTGGCTTCTCACCTCCTCCTCTAATGGAATTTTATTTTTTATTTTTCAAGTTTTACTTCCGGTAGGAGTCATGAAAAAGACAAAACAGTTTTGTTGCTCACTGGTGTCACTTTTTGATTTCTATCTTGTGCTTGGACAGAGAGATACTGAGTCAATGTGAAATGTGGGTAGTCTTTGTGAAAGTGTGAGAGATTATCTACAGGTTTTTCAAACAAGGGGGATTTTTCTTTTTTTTTACTAATTATTTGTTCTGAGAGTTTTCCCCACGGCTTCCAAACATTATTGGCAGAGAATGTTACACAGCGGCCTCTAGTGGTGGTAGAGCATGACGTACACATGACGACTGAAGCGTTCATAGGGCCTTTCAAAACCATACTACAAAATTATGCTGAAGAAAAAGTGATAAAAGTTGACCGAAACCTTGTGTTTACTGTATGATCTGTATATTAAAAACAATTATAGAAAATTACACCTTAGGCAATGTTTGTGCAAATAATGTAAAATAAAAAAACAAAATACTGCAAAGGCGGCAGGATGACTCATCAAAATGGCATCGTCATATAAAGGCTCAGGCTTAACTTTGGCCTTTTAGTGTGACAGTGTTTGTTTATCTCGGAACTTGGCTATCTTACTTACCTAAACCACAAGCTCTGGGACATTTAAGTTTAAAGTTAAAGGTCAAAGCTCAAGCGTTAAGAGTTGACAGATTTAAGTTTTCACGCATTGCGTTTTGAGAATTAAATTATATTCTGAAAGGTGCATTTTTGTGCCATTCTATACAATTACTCTTATCCCACAAGATTCATCACCAGTTTTTTTTTTTTTTTCATATTTTGTTGGAGCACAAAATAGTGTGCAAGTGTCCAAAAGATGCTGATTTGATGTGAAATTGAAGACTTGCCTCTTTGTTATTCCATTTCTCAACTTGTACCACTGGCACTGGAAGTGGAACTACCTTCGCTTGATAAAAGGTGCAATTTTATCAGTTTAAAAAAATGGTTCTTGCATAAATGTCATTGTGTCAAAATTGTGCAGCCTTTGGTGCTCTGACCATGAAGCCTTTTTATAGCTCTTTTGGAGGTGTCTTGTTCTTGCTCAATAGCCTTTCAGTCCATGATGTAAGAGCTGTTTTGTTCTATGGAAAGGAGGCCCAGGTGCTCCAGCAGATTGTGATGTATGATTCACCTTATTTCCTGGGTGTTTGTTGATTATTCTAAGCAATCTCATTCTTCTGAGGGTGACAGTTTGGGTCAGAGGGGTGAAACACTAACACTTATTATTTCTTTTTTTTTTTTTTTTTTTTGCTTTGTCATATTAGTAACTTCTGGTCTGGCTTTAGTTGCAGCAGATGTGTCACTGTTACCATATAAGTAGTATTATTTTTAGAGCGCTTCTGATTTTGAATAGTAATCTTCCGACATATTATTTCCCTGGGTGAAATACACAGCATGAGTTGGAAAGTTAGAAAGATCAGCTGATACCAAAACTATCTTCATGGTTATAGAACTAAAACTTAGATTGACTGATAACAGTTCAACTTCCCCGTCTGACTTTATTCAACAGTAAATGAAGTCACAAGATGAACTTCATTTACTGGCATTTTGCAGAAAAATATACACGTAATCAGCGACTTGGATATACTGGATATGCTGACACACAATTATCAAAGTGGACACAGCACAAATATTGCATTGTTAATAATCATACAAAAGAAAATAATTATCATATATGTGCCATAACTTGTCTTTATATTCAGGTTAATTTATATTCAACAAACCTAAATGATCCAAGAGTAATATGAATTCACTAGATACTCACTAATTTTGTTGATGTATAGAAAGTAGAAAACTGTACACAGCATGGATTTCATTAATTAAGGCATATCCCTCTGGTAATAAAATGATGCTGCCCTCTAGTGGTGGGTGGCTGGTCAAGATTTTGGAAACCAGTTTTGTTTAGAAATTGTCCTTTTTAAAGACAAATGAAACACCAAAAGACTTTTCATGAGCATATTTTGGTTATTGATTTTTTTTTTCATTATGAATCAGCAACAAAAACAAAGAATGAACAAATAGTGTGGTTGGGAGTTGCCGGTGCCTATCTCCAGCTGCGTTCCAGGCGAGAGGCAAGGTACACCCTGGACAGGTCGCCAGTCTGTCGCAGAGCAACACAGAAACAAACAGACACACTCACACCTAGGTAGAATTTGGAAAGATTAACCTAACAGTCATGTTTTTGGACTGTGGGAGGAACCCGGAGAGAACCCACACATAAACAGGAAACAGCAAACTCTGTGCAGGAAGACCCCGGGCTGGGAATCAAACCCAGGACCTTCTTGCTGCAAGGCAATAGTGCTTCCAAGTGCACCACTGTGCAGCCCATTTTGTTTTACCTTTTCATCAGATAATTTTTTTTTCCATGCCAGTCTTACCACAATCTTACCATAATATTTGTGATATTTATTGTAATAGCAATACACAACTAGTGGGAATCCCACAAATATTGGGTCTAACTTTAAGAGAATACAGTCTAGCTGTAATTAACAGCACAGTTACCTTTGACATGAAGTGCATGTAAGGATATGTACTCGGAAAACAACGTAATATTCCTCAACGTCATCATAATTAAAAAAAAAAAAACAAGCAAAAGCTTACATTTTCTCAGAGAAAAAGTGAATGGTTTTCTAGTGTTATTGGGGTCAGTAGTAATAAGGTTTGGCCCATCTCTTTTTATAGCACACATAATCCACTGTTCAGCAGCTGCACCTGGTTACCAAACTGCATTGTTGCAGCTTTCCTGCAGAGTATATAAAGAAAGACAGCAAGTCATGTCACTTCCCATTTCCTCAGTTTCTCTGTCTGACTGAGAGGTCTGTTTGAAAGGTTTTTGAATTTTCAGACCTTTCTACACACGGTGGTGCAGTGTTCAGCAATTAGTAAAACCTCTTATTGATCAAACAAAATCACAAAGTAATTTCTCGAACTTTCCTTTTGCTGCCAGTCATGAGGCTAAACCTGTTAGATCAGCATTATACCAGCCACAGTAGGTGCCCACCAAAACACAAGCTTTAGACCCATTCATTCTTTCAAAACAAAGGTTTGTACAGTTTAATGAGTTTGTGCAATAAGATGCAGATCTTATTATGCATCTTATGTAAATGTATTACACTTGACATATATTAGTAATATGTTGTATATATTACTAATATTGCAAATTAGAAATATACCGTTACTAATTGCAACAGTGTATTTGTTATTTTTCCCTTAAAAACAAACTTGAAGCTTGAGGTAAAGATAAAACACTTGTAATTTAAACTGAAGTGTTGTTCAACCAAATGAATGCTGTATTTTGACATCTCTGTGGACTCTCTGAAGGTGAGCTACCTTTGAATCAAGAACCTCATTTTGTGGAGAGCTGCCATGCCTGAACTGGTAGAAACTGTGGACTCTTAGCTGTGGAACTGATGCAGTGTTGTGGACTCTGACTTGTGAAAAATTTATGTTTTTTCCAACTAAAGCTGAAAGGCCTAATCTTTTTCTTCAGAGTACAATTATTTTTCGCCCTTTAAACCTCGTCTCTGTCCTCAATAGCATCTGGTATGATTTTGGACTCTTCCAGAACCTTAAAGTTGAGTTAGATTAAGAAACCCAGTCAATTGTATAGACACTTATTGGTGTCTGATGCTGAATGTTGCCCAAAATTGAGAACCACGATCAAGATTTTAATTGTTTATGAAGATTCTGTTCACAACAGGTAAGATTCTGTGTTTAGAGTCTGACTGGGACCTTCAAGTCTTCCTGATTCCTTAGTGAATGGACTGTGATTTGCATGTTGGCTTAACTGAGTTTCCATTTTCTCCTGGAGAGAGGGCCAAGCAACTTCCCACTGTACAAATTCACTTTGTATCTTGCATATCAATCAAGGCTATTTGTATAGCTTATTTCAACAAGATGGCAGTTCAAAGTGTTTTACGCTGTGAAAACGTCAAATTCATGGATAAAGTGAAAACCAACAATTGGCACTTGACATTTGTTAAAATCAATACACATCAAATGTGTTGGAAATTTTACTATGATTCAAAAGAAACTCTACACAGGTGCATTCAGCCTTCATTAAAAAGAACTGTGTTTCAGCTGCTTTGCAGTTTTCTCAAAGTTTGTTTTAGATTTGGTCTGGATAGTTGATAAAACAGCACATCCATAATGTATCTTGGTGCTATGCCATTCAGTATTTTGAGGTGATTTTTTTGTTTGTTTGTTTTTTTAATTACTTTGACTCTTTTTATGAAGGTTGTTGTCTTTGTCAGCTGAGCTGAAGTAATCTGAACTATCATGCAGAGTCACACTGTGAAACCAGTGTAACTGGCCTGGCAGGTGAGGAACTGCTGGGCACGCCTATTTCTGTGAACCAAAGAATGAACTGCTCAAAGTGGGAGGCCGTAAGGAGGGATGACAAAGAGCAACCCTTATAGTTAATGTTTCAGTTTGTTGAAAATCCAACTTCACGTAAAACGGAGAAAGACGAACAGTGGAGTTTAATGTTTCACCACCATGTTCTGACTGCTGCTGTAACAGAGTTAACCTGGTTGTGAAAAAGCTCCACCCACTTGCTTTTACATTGTTGTTGCTGTCCCAAATCCAATGGCAAAGAGAGATGTGGTAGGTTTTTATCTAAATTTTTATCTTTTCTTTAATATTTTGTGAAGCTCATCAGAATTGAAATGTGGATGTGTTTGTTTTGCTGGAGAGAATCTTTGTCTAAACCTGCGCAGAATGCTGTTTGTTTTTGGACTCCTGTGGGGTGTGATGAATGATGATTTACCTGCAATGCAGCAGACCCAGTGAAGGATTCGGTCTTAAATTAAGTTTTAAGTACATTTATTCAATTTTTTTGAAAATGAACTTTTTATGATGTGAAAAAGACCAATTTTATGGTTTCCAGGCAGGATTTATTATGGGATTTTCAGTAGCTTATTTTTGGACAGTTTCAAATGCCTCAAAAATCACAACTTTTAGTTATCCAGACAATATGATGCAATTACTGTACAACACAACCTGTTAATGGACAAACCTATGGATTAATCATTCAGAATTAAACGTGTGAAAGCGTAGTTTGAATTAAACCTTTTGTGATAGGAATACAATGCCATACCACACAATGTTCTAGTTTTTGAAGAGGAAAAATAAGACTTAAAATAATTTAAAAGAAAATGAAGAGTTTATGAAAGTACAATAATGGTGAAGAAAAAAATAGTTCAAACATTTACGTAATGGAAAAAATAATATAAAATTAACTCTTGAGTTTGGCTGTAAGCCAAACACTATGAATGCAGCAGGAACACAATAGCTGGAAAATGTTTTCCCAAAGCTACAAAACAAAATGTTGTGTAGAGTCAACCTCATTTAGAGCAGAGAAACTACAGATCACAAACCTGTCCGGTCACATTCATGACCTTCTGTAAACACTGAAGCCATAAAGGAAATGAATAGTTGTGCTAACTTGTGCTCAAAAAGGCTGAGTCACATTACCTGAAATATTACAAGAATTTTAGTTTTCAATTTGACTGTCACGCGACTCGGGATCAGTAAAATGTTGTCAATTTATGAAAATTTATTTATTTTCATCATTTTTTTCTCCGAAGAGTTTTTGTGGTGCTAGTGGCTCGTATTTTCAACAGTAGGTAGACAGGAAAGAGGGCGAGAAAAGAGGGGAAGACATTTGGGCAAATGTCGCTGGGACCGGGAGTTGAACCCGTGACGTCCGCGTCGAGGACTGAGGCCTTCAAACGTGGGGCATGCTAACCCCCGCGCCACCACAGCACGGCCCCCTCAGAAAGTTTCTTTTATAGGACACTTGCTTAAGTTATCCTACCTTTCAGAGCTTTAAGGTAAGCTTATGATAAAATAAAAAAAAAAACCTCATCAACACAGAACCATAGTCCCAAAATGTTTGGATAGTGAAATAGATTTTATAGAAAAACTAAAGGTGGATTTTCTTATATATTGGTCAAATCTCCCTGCTTTGATTTCACACACAAAAGTAGCAAGTTGTCTCTGAAAACACATACTCTGATAAACATGTACAGGAAAAGTCGTCAACATCTCACGACAGGCATTCATTGACAATGTTACTGTCAAAGTATGTGTTGGAAACATGGTTGAAGAGAAAGTTATACATGACTGCACGTTAAGTTATACACCACTGCACATTAAATATATATATATATATATATAATATATATATATATATATATATATATATATATATATATATATATATATATATATATATATATATATATATATATACTCTTTGAAAACCTTTAAGATGTTGTTAAAGATTTAATGCTTGGGTAGAGGTTCAACTTCCAGCTGGACAATAACCTTCAACAAAAAATAGATATTGAAAACATCAATGTTGGAAGAGCTCAACAAACATAAAGACTGACAGCCAACCAAAAATATGTGCACAGAGTTGAAAACGGCTTCAGTTTCTTTCAGTTTGATTGAGGTAAAGCCATTTTTAATGTGCACTTACAGTTCAAGGTGGTTGAATAGGGTATTGACTGAGGGCCTTGCCTGTACAGAAAGAATAAACATCAGAGAATCTTACTTTCAATTCAGAATTATACACTGCAGTGTTAACGTACCACATCAAAGCTTAATAAAATAGATTTAAGTGTGTTGTGATATCTGGGGTTGTTTTGACTTGGTTTTGAGTTTTGTCTACTGCTATTATTTTTGTTAGATCTGTCTCGTTCCTGTTTTCAATTAGTTCAGTTCTTGGTGTTTCTGGTTATGTTTATTTCTCAGTTCTTCTTTGTTACTTTTGTTTTATTAGGTTTCTTTTGTCTGGTTAATCCTTATTGTTAGATTTATTTCCTGGTCCCTTGTGTACTTTCTTTTGTCTCCTGAGCTACTTTCTCTCTCCTTCTCTTAAATCTGCTTCCTTCTGCCATCAGCCTCCTCAGAATTTAAGTTTCTCATTATCAGTCATTACTCGCTCGATCCTTCTTTCCACTCGCGACATCTCCCGTCACTTCTCTCTGTTCTCCTCTTGTCTCCTTATAGTTTCTTTCCCCGGTATTTATGATTTGTGCTTTTGCTTTAGCTCCATCGATCTTTGTAAGTTTTTGTTTTCTAATACTTTCATTATTCAAAATGATCCATCGTCCCAGTTTCTGTCTCCGTTTTGGTCCACCATCAACAAACTCACACTTCATGACATGTGTTTGCAATGTGACAGAATCAATATAAAAAATTAAAATAAACTCAGTGTACAAATATTTCTATAGGGCACTTTTCATGTTTCCTAATAGAATATGGCAAAACCTTCTCTAATGGAAAAATACTCATACAAATATTTCCCTGCTCTTTTCAACCTTTCCATTTTTGGTTACAATATCGACCATAATAGCAAAACTTCAACCACCTGCTGGGTGAAACAGGAAGTAGGGCTATGTAAAGCAAAAGATCTTCAATCAACCTTGTGAACTTTGCTGAAACACCAATGTCAATTTCTCCTTTTCAATCCTCAGTCTCAGTTTTCCATTCCTTCTTATCACCTGTCCTTTGTATGCTGACATCACTCAATCTTTCCGAAAGTCCAAATATTGATTCAGGCTTTTGTTGGGAATTTCTGGCATGGCTATGTGAAAGTGTGAGCAAGAGAGAATGGTGGAAAGAAAATCTCAAAGGAATTCCTGAACCTCTTGTTTTAGTTGCCGAGATGCGTTCAGTTTTTGTGTTTCAAGCTTATTACTCCGTTGTGGACTCAAATATATACTTGATATTTTAGTTCTTTGCATTAAAAAATAATGTTATAGTATCAGTCTTGACAGCAAAATGCAAGGGACAAGCATACATTTTCTTTTGTGTTATATTTATCACATACAGTCCTATGTTACTTTGTCAAGAATAAATCCCATATCAATGAACAAACTCAATTTAAAATATTTTTTTTTACATTCTCCTCTGTCTCTTTCTTAGGACGCACCTCCTCCTCCCTACTACTCTCTTGGTCTACACACTCAGCCCCCCCTCAGACCATATGAAGAAGTGGTGTATGGCTCTAACCCAGGGCTGACACTCCCAAACCAGCCCCGTTATATCCCCCAGTATCCCCCACCCATTGTTCCGCCCCCAGTCACTGCACCCAGTTCATGTGAGTAACATCTACAGCTGTCGAGATTAAACAAGTCTGAACTATAAAGATCTATGTTTTTGTTTTTTTAATCTGTGACTTCTCGGTTTCTGTCCAGTGCCTAAGAAGAAACAGAACTCCTGTGGAAACCAGGCTCAGTTCTTCAAGGCGGCAGCGGCGGCTCTGCTGGTGCTTACTCTGCTGGGAGTTGCTATATGGCTTGGAGGTAAAGTTTGTCTATTTATATACATGAGTGAATGTAGTCATAAATATTAAGTGGCTCCTCCAACATAGCACTGATGCCATTTTAAACCTTGACACACATAGCCTAAAGACATGCATATATCTGTCTGCTTCTCTCTATTTTTTTCATGTCTATTTTATTAACTTGAGTAAATAATTCAGAGTTTGCACAAAATCAACAGGATCAGGGTTTATTCATCAGGATATTTTTACCTTGACACCAAACCCCTAGATAAATTGCACACATTCATCATTGCAACATGGTTTATGTTGTAAAAATGAATGGTGCTTTTCTGACAATATGTGAACATTCGAAAAGGTACATTGTTATTTTGCTTTGTAAAGTCACAACATAAAATAACATTAAAATTCTGGGCTTCATTTGGTTTCAGCAATAGTGGCTCTTCTTACCCAGACATGTTTGAGCACATTGGTCATACAGTACAAAAAACAGGTCACATAGAATAAAACAAATAAAGGAACTTCGGCTGATGAAGTCTTCCCTTCTCTTTTTTGTAACATTGTTTTGATCAATTTGGTTGCCAGAAAAAACCCAGGTAGATAAACAAAACGTGCACATCTTGTAACAGCTTGTTCTCACACAGAAGTTGCATTTTCATTTAAACTACAGTTTATTGTTTTTGTGATTTTTTTTTTTAAACATCATTTCAGTAGTTAATAATCTCCACTTTCACATCCACAGTTTATTATGGCACCAAGGCATTAGCGGACACAGACGATGATGATGATGACAACAGCAAAGAAGATCTTGACAAAGAAAATGTTTGGCTTCAGCTTGACACCTGCCCCAACGACACTGTCCCGTGTGATGCGACCAAAGACTGCCAACTGGGCTCCGACGAAACAAACTGTGGTGAGTACACACAGGCACACAATCAGACTTCACCAGCCAGGTTATTAAAATCCACTGTTATAAAGGGATTTGTGTCTAACATTTGTTTCAAACTATGAACCAATGAGAATAATAAAATAATGCTAAGAGTTGAAAGTTGCACACTATGTACACTCAGGCTATATGTGTTTTGTACACTAACTTGTACATAGTGTACATGTTTATGTTATGGTTGTAAATGTGTGCAAAATAACTTGAAGTGGGTAAGCTAAAAGCCCCTTTTCTCCAAAAATGAAAACCAAGCTAACAAGTAAACAAACTCCATCACCATTCAGTGTTTCTCCATGTTTTTTATAGTGCGATTCGGAGAAAGCAACAGCCTGGAGGTGAAAACAGCCCAAGATACACGCTTCCTACCAGTGTGTTACAGTGGCTGGAACAAGGATTATGCTGACCGTGTCTGCTCACAGCTCGGATTAAGACAGTAAACAAATTTCAGTTTTAACAAAATACTTTACAGTGACAGAGATTTATTAAAGGACTTTTTAAACCTCTCTTATCAGATCCAGTTACAGCAGCCATCAGTGAGAATTAGATTTTCAGTCTGCAAACTATATCATACCCACAGAGCTTCATTTAATTTCTCCTCCCCTGCTGCCCGTGAACTTAGACTTCAATTGAAAATTGTAGAAATTATTGTTATCTCTCAGCTGGACAGAACCAGAGTCAGTTTCCAGCACCAATCAGGGGCTGATTTGATGAAATTTCTGCTGTGTTGGCTGGTTTGCTTTCTCAGTTGTCTGAGTAATTTTTGTTTTCTTCTTCAGGTCTTATTTAAGTGGAGAAATTGATTCCAATCCATCCATGGCTTTAAAACTGACCAGCAATCCACCTTCTCTTATTCAGGGTCTCTTAACTACCAGGTAAGCTGGTTTATCAGGTTGTGCTCAAACTGTTTCCTTGTAGACGTGTACTTATGGTAATTGGCATGCATTTCTTTTGCATTCCGCAGCTCTTCCTGTCCAAACAAGAAGATCGTATCCCTGCAGTGTGTGGGTAAGAAGCCTCCATCTGTTCCTACAGTCACACAACAGCTTCCATTTTCTTCCCTTCATTGTTTGTTTTAACTCGTGTAAAACCTTGCGCTCACTCAGTTTCACTTAACTATTTTTTTTTCTCGTCACATTAATAGTTTTGAAATTTAAATATTGAATAGGAGCTCTCATAAAAACACTGCAAAGGTTTAAAATGATTTATAGGGGGGAAAATTGTGCCAATGTTTATACTTTCATTTGCCTGCTTTTTCTCACACTACTTACCCATCTGCTAACATGACACCTTCTTCCACTGCTTTGGTTGGTGCTGTTGTTCTAGCCACCTGCAACCACCCGTTGTTTCTGCATGTACTTGACAATTTAAACCATTTTAGATCCAGATTAGACCTAAATTAGTTGTCAAATTGATCACTTACCAGTCTGAGTGTGGTCCAATACATGAATGCAGGCCTAAATATTACCAATCCATTCACTATACCTGCTTAAACTTTGCATGGTGATGAGGTGAGTGTCACCTCTCCAGAGGAAAATCAGGGAAAACCAGTGTATATTTATAAGTTCCCAGTAAATCACAGGGAAGCACAGATGAATACCAAACAACCAAACAGTCGTACAGACACAGACAATAAATGTAGACATACCTGGAAGCAAGGAGCATGCTAAGGAGTGGCTAAGGACTGATACCACTGAAGTTTATATGACACCGGTGATGAATGAGTCACTAAAATAAGACCAAGTGAGAAAATAAAAAGACAAACTAACGCTAACTTCAAGGGGGCAACTTTTTACGATTCTATAGGAGGTTGAACAAAAAAAAAGACAAATAAATCAACCTTGAATAAAGAAATATTTTTCCTATGCACTTTTCTCTTCCTCAGACTGTGGTAAACAGCCGTCTACATCCCGGATCATCGGGGGCACTGTGGCTAAATCGGGTCAGTGGCCTTGGCAGGTGTCGCTTCAGTTCAAAGGATCCCACGTCTGTGGTGGTGTCCTGATCTCACCGGATTTTGTGCTGACCGCTGCTCATTGTTTCCCTGAGTGAGTGATGCCGAAATTGTGAGCTACGTTAAAACTGCAGAACATCGAAACAGTATTTACCTTTTGAGTTCCTGGAATACTGAGATTTTGAAATAAACCGCGACTAGTCAACATCTTTCACAGTGAAAAATATATTTTGCATTCCTGTCACCACAGGGAGTATCGCTCTGCTGAAAACTGGAAAGTGTATGCTGGAATTGTGTCTCTGGATAAACTAACTCAGCCCTACCTGGTTCAGAAGATCATACTCAGCGAGATCTACAACAGCAGGACCAGTGACCACGATGTAGCTCTTCTTAAGCTTACATCTCAAGTTACTTTTAACGGTGAGGGTAATTTTTACCTCACAGTGCTGCTTTTTTGAGAAATATTTTGGAGCGATAGGAACCTTTTTTTTATTATTAAAAGAGAAGCCACTACAACTGAAGACTTCAGCTATTTAAGTGTCTAAATAGTAAGAGTTAAATAGTACATATGGAGTCTGGAAGAACATTTATGTCTTTGTTGTGTGTATTTTATTGGGATTTTGCATGATAGGTACAGTAAAAATAACCTCCATCATGTAATTTGATTGTCTGTCAAACAACCAAACTGCCTGAGACAACGTCAGAGAAAATTGTAATTGTCCTGTGAAGGTCTGTTGCATTTTAAAAAGAATACGATACAGTGCTGTTGAAGCGTTACTAGCTAAATGTGCTTCCCTTACAGGTAAACCTGTGCTTTTTCTAGTCTCACTTTGAGCATTTGATAAAACACACTGTGTGTCCTTTAATTTCCTCAAGGAAGCACAAAGCTACTGATGAATTTCCTGAAGATAAATGCGTTTGCGTTTTGCAGATAATGTTCAGCCAGCCTGCCTTCCACTCAATGGCCAGGACTTTCCACAGGGAACCAGGTGTTGGACGTCTGGTTTTGGCAGTACTAGTGAAGGATCAGGTAAAAAAAAAATAAAAGAAAAAATAAAAGAAATGGGGTAACTCGTTTCAGTGAAAAATATACATTTGCTATCTCGCTAAATCCATAATAGCACATTGCAAATTCAAGTAAACCCTACAACAGTGAAACGTATGAGTGGAACGTGAAGCATAGAAACAGCAAAATGTTTACAAAAATAATTGCAAATGTAGTTTAGGGGGGGAACAGTTTAGTTTTTTTCTCTGAGAAGGGCCAGCTCTCCACTTTGAAAACCCCAGGGCTACACTGACAAGGAAGTGCTGTTTATTGATTGAAAGAGTTCATACAGCTGATTGCAAATTGTGTTATTCGAAGGCAATAATTGGCTTTTGTTTCAAATTTTAAATGTTTTGGCATGGTTAGACTTTGACCATAAGTGCTGCTGTTTAGGCCTTTATGTTAACGGGTTTTGGAAATGTGGAGTTTGACTTGAAAGCTGCATAAAAGCGAGGGTAGAACATTAGTAAAGACATTGTCAGTGTCACTAGACGAACACAAATAGCCTGCCAGCAGCTTGTATATTAACTATGTAAATAATCATTAATTGAATGAGACACCGTGCACATGAGGGAGATGATTTGAATAATCTAAAAATGTAGTGAAATAAAATCCCAAAAAATTGTAACAGTTGCTATGATACTGCACACAAATGTGAAATTTGATCTGTTCTTAGGCATTTCTTGCTTATTTCACTCACTCATATTTCACTTTTATCGTTTCAAATAAAAGGAAAGCCCTCAAAGGACCTAATGGAAGTGAATGTGGATATCATTGGCACAAATGTGTGCAATGCCGCATCAGTATATGGAGGTGCAGTGACCAGGAATATGATTTGTGCTGGGACATTGGAAGGAGGCAAAGATTCCTGTCAGGTGAGGCTATTCTATGACAATCAGTCAAGTCTGGCGTGAATTCGCAAAGCTATTTGTGTGTGCTAAATTAAACAACAAATGTCTATATTCATTTAAATTACAGCCACAGCAAACACAAAAATTACAGGTAACTGTCTATGCTAACTTTTCATGCGTGTGATTTAGGGTGACAGTGGAGGACCTTTGGTGTGTAAAGCAGACAGTCGTTGGTACCTGGTGGGGCTCACCAGCTGGGGATCAGGTTGTGGTGACGTAAACAAGCCTGGTGTCTACACCAGAGTGAGCGCTGTTCTGCCTTGGGTCTACAGCAAATTGCAGGTAAGAATTGAGAATTTACTTTTTTTTTCTGACCATATTAATTAATTCATATTTGTTTTAACATTGCTTCCTCTTTTTTTCTTTTTCTCTCAGCAAGTGAAACCTTAATATCTCCTGCACGTCCAGCCAAGTTAATGAAGTCTGCACCGCAAACTTGTGTTTGATGAAGAAATTGCAACACTGTGATGAGAAGACATTATAGAGTGAAAATTGTCATATAAAAAGTTACATGTTGGTTTACAAAGATACATGTTGGTTTACAAACAAAAGCCAATTACCCAGTTTTACCCTAACTGGGTAAATGATAACAAACTATATAAATGGCAACCACAATAAAAGGTGTGAAAAGGAAAATGTTTTGGAGACTAGAATAATTTGCGTTAAGACAGCTTTGACGACACTATTGAAAACAACAAATCCACCAGTCATGAAATAGAAGACATAGTTAAGTCTAATATCCTTTGTTCAAGCAGAAGATCGACTAACACACAGATACACAGAAGACTGAATATTTAGTCTGGCTTAAGAGAAGATTAAACACCATCTACATGCCACACTGGGACTGCTGCCGGTGTCTTCGGACGCTACACATCTAAAGATAAATACTGAACAAGTTAATTCAAAATCAGTCTAGCACTTTTAATTTTGGGTGTTTCACTCTCCCTTCACATTAGCTGAGCTTCAAAAATCACTCACCTTTCTATATTTAATTTTTGCCAATGACAGAACTTAGTATCGTCATCCCACTGATCAAAGTGGGATCATGATACACTTTAAAAATGAAGGAACACTTTAAAAATACTTTAAAAATGAAGGAATATATATATATATATATATATATATATATATATATATATATATATATATATATATATATATATATATATTATATATATATATATATATATATATATATATATATATATATATATATATATATATATATATATGTGCGTGTGTAGTCAAAAGGTTTGTTCTTCTCAGGGCAACATCTGGGCATTGTCTGTCTGTTTAATTTAGAAATGTACATTTTACTTTGTACTGAAATCAAAGAATTTTGTGAATTTAAACACATTTTTGTGGGTTTTGTTTTATTGTGTTCCTTGTTCACACATTTTCTGGTTCTTACAAATCCCCACAGTTGGAGAGGCACACAATATTTTGAAGTCTATTGTGAAGTTTCAGAACACTTCGACATCCCCTGGAGAGAGACTTTGCCAATATGTTGATTTAGTTTTCCACAAGGACTTGGTACCTGGTGGCTCAGTAAAAGCCAGCTCTGTTTTCCACACTTTGCTTCATGCAGAAGCTCTGTAATCTATTGTGAAACAGTCACTTGCTGGAGGCATGGACAAAACTTTTTAATTTTAAAACCAAATTCCTTGGGGGTGACAAATGAAATGCACTAGTTTGAAGTCATGGCAATAAACAACATTGCCCCACTGCAAGGAGAAAAGGGCCGAGCCAAACCAGATGGGTCTTAATGTTTATTCAATATTTGGAAGTCTGGCCAGCACGGCTTTGTTCAGTTTCACCGTTGCCTTTCTAGCACATCAAATTGACATTTACAACTTCATTCACAACTTCCCCTTCTGTTTGTTGACAGACCCAGTTGAAATCCTACCAGAGAAATTCTGCTCAATGGGAGAAACTCCAGACAGAGCACAGAAGGGAGATGAGAATTGAGCAGAATTCTGTCGGAAGGCAATGACCAGACTCGGTATCGATCAACATTGTAAAATTAGCTTAATTTTCTTTGTTTGTGTCTGATTAAAATAAGATGGACACCAGACCAAAATAACGCAAACCGAGCTGCAGACCAGCCGCAGACTGTTTGCCTCCAAGTCACGCTGCATTGATGCATTCACACAAAATAAGCCCCAGTCATGTGTTGGATGCATTTACTGTTACATGACAAACTTTTCAATAGCTTCACATTAATGCTCTAAATAACCCCCCTTTTTTGTCTTAATAAAGTCATTAATTACTTTTTCTTTCTTTTTTTTTTTTTAGAATGAATCTAAAGAATAGTCGGAGTACTTTTTCAATGCAACTATGGTAACACGGGTTATTATTGCAATGGAAACCCAAAATTTCCATTCTGGGTTTCCAAAATGGAAAATATTGAAAATCAACATAAAGGTTTTAAGCTTTTATATTTGTCAATGAAACTTTTAGAAGGCATTCTAACTGTGCATGCCCCAGTATACCCTATGAAAATGAGCAAAAAAAAAAAAAAAAAATCCGTATGATGGAATCTATATATTACCAGTGTCTGCAGAGCGAGCAAAGACGGAGAGAGACAGAGAAAGGGGTAGCGACAGGATCCAACACACGGAGAAAAGCGGTTGCTGCAGGAACCACGTTGTTATCCATCACGTCTGTTTTTTTTTTCTTTTTGATGTTGTTTTTTGTTTTTCCAAGAGAAGTCGTGTCTACATGATCGTTGTGCAACAAACAGACAAATGAGAGCCGTCGTGTCGAAACCAAAGCGATAGTGAAGCAGACTGAGTCACTGATTGTCGCGGGCGGACACGCATTCTACCAACACAAACCCAAACGTCCTCCGGAGAAACAACAGGTGAGTTGATGAGCGCATATTTGATTTCGTTCACGCTGCCACTGCCGTGCGTGTTTTTCTGGGAAATAATGCTTTCACGTGCATTCGGAGCGGCCGTCACGTTCCGCAGGCACAATGCGGCTCCGCGGTCTAAATAACTCGCAGGGACGCAATTAACGACACTTCCAGTCGAACCGTGAGGGTGTGTCGGCTGGCACCACACGCAAGAAAACACGAGTCGCAACCTGATTAATTGACTTTCTTTGATTGCTTATCAGATGAGTAGCCTACTTTTTTTTTTTTTTTTTTTTTTTTTTTTTGACATAAATATCAAGTTCTATTTCATCCCTCAGGGCTCCACAGAAAATAAAGACACCGGCTCAGATGCGAACGGTGTCTTTATTTCCCCCTCCAGAACATGATCCACAGGTTGGGGAGGACCGATGCGCTGCCGTCACAGACTTGACGGGAATCATTCTTGCTCCACAGTAATGACGGTGTCATTACACGTAAGGGTGCCTGAGGCTAATAGCCTGACTCGTTACTGATGAAAAGGTTATTGATGACCTTGTCGGATCAACTTCATGTCCCAGTCATGTTTGACTCGTGCATTTCTAGAGGATTTTACAGTTTTGGTGAAATTCAACCTTGAACTTTTGATTTTAAAGCTGTGGACCACACCCGTTTTTTTTTTTTTTTTTTGCTTTGTGTTTTTTTTTTTTTTTTTTTTTGCTTATAAATGCACCCTGACTGATTTATTGTCCCTGCATGTGTTTTGATATAAGGCCACCATCGATTCGCGGACCTCTTTCTCATTCAGATGCGATTTCCTATTGGACACTGAGGAACGACGCACATTGTTGTCATGGTGATTTGACATTTTTTTTATTGCGATGATGGCGGATATAAAGGAGCAGGTCACTGCACATGGTTTATGGAGGCCAATGTGACCCATTTATTTCTCCTAGATTGAAAAAGAAAGAGAGTGAATGAATGAAAACCTTCCTTATCGGTGGTTCGATTTACATTAAATTGAATAAAAATATGGTTAACCATAAGAGGACCACTTCTGATGACATTATTTGAAACACAGCTCTGATAATGGGTCATCAGGCTCGTGGTAGTTCATCTGGGACAAAATCGTACTTTTTATGACCTTTTTACAATGTGGTTTTGCCCCGCATAACCTAAAAATCAACAAGCTTAAACATTTTCATCTTGCTCGTATAAGCTCCTTCTTTTCCCCCATGAGTCTCGTATAATGTTTCACAATTATTTTATGCATTCTCACATTTCATACACTATGTGATTTCTATACAACAGACTGCCTCTCCACAGTCCTCACCTCAGACAGTGTCTCCCCTAAATGCCCTTCACTAAGCGTTCTCAACAGACAGTGCTTTTTCCCCCCGCCCAGGGTGTGGTTCATGTCTCCTACCTTGACCGTCTCTCTGCTTGCCCTCTCCTTGTCCCTGTGTTGTAAAAAAAAGAAAAAGAAAAGAAAAAAAAAGCGCCTCTCCATCTGTCGTGTTATTTTCCCCCCACCTCGCTCTCTTCCACCTGCTCCTCCTTCTCTCTGTGATATGAAGTGTCTAGAATAGAATAGGTTTGTTCTTTATTTGTCCCTCAGTGGGGGAATTCTGAGCATGGAGATGAGGACGTTTAGTACACTAAGATGGACGTTTCAAAAAAGCTCTTTGGCCCTCTGTGGATAATCTAATCTTAATTGGTTTTTTCCTCCTTTGGCAGCAAAAAACGTCCATCAAGCGTTTGTGATAACTGAGAGTGAGTATTTTACATGGCTGCAGATAAATCCTGCCTGACTCTTCTCTGTAGAACTGTTGCATTTCATCCACATTGGAGTTTTTTTTTTATTATTATTTTTTTTATGAATAACCCCACCATTGGTTTGATATTTATGTCTGAAATTTGACTAGACTGCTGAAACATTCAATTTGTTGTGAATCATTTGGAGGTGAACTTGCAGGTGGGATTTGGATCATCACCCGCAGATGTGAGCTGGGTGATGATTTTGGGCTTAAAGTCACAAATACTGGAGAGTCTTCTTTTCAGGATTCTTCTTCCGTCAGTTCTGTCCTGCTTCAGCTAAACGACCCATCCTAAATTTTTCACTTTTGTTTCATAAGTCCACAATACTTTCCCAAAAGTCTCGGGGGTCATTGAGATGTTTTTAAGCAAAATGTGTGTGTATTCTTTGTATGCAGCTGCTAGCTTTGTAACGCTCAGGTTCTTTACTTATGTCTGAATTGTAACTGAGCAATTGAAGTCTGTGGAGTTTTAGATGTTGTCAGCCATTCTTAGGGCAATTTTGAGGGGCTGACCACTCCTTAAAAATTTCCCCACTGCATGTTTTCTTCTTTAGTGGAGAAATCCTGTGGTTCATTGGAGTCCCAAAGCGCTAGATTTCTTTTTCTTTTTCCCTCTGTTTCATTCAGATGAATATTAGTGACTTAGATTTTCATATGTCCTCAAATTTATTTAAATTAAATGTGATGTGTATTTTATATTTATTTGTGCCTTCTTCACATTGTCAGACAGGTTTCTTTTAAATCAGTTGATTAATTATGTCCCTGTGTGGTTAGTAAAATTAGACTCAGCTTTCCAAAAAAATGTGGTTCATTAAAGGTAATTAATGATTTAAGGATTAAGGCAATTACTTCATTCCCATTGTGCCAGGATGATTTGTGTAGATTTTCTCCCTTGAAAATTTAAATCAACATTTGAAAATAGAAGTGCTATACTCACTTTGTACGGCTTAAAAAATAGTTTGATATTGATTAGTTAAATTGAAGAAAAAAAGGAAAAACAGAAGAAATATGAACTGGATAATATATATTTTCACACAAATGCTGAATGTGTAATAGAGGGACATACAAATATGATTAAGGCCTTTTTGAATTTATGTGGTCAAGTATATTCAAAATTCTCACAAATTATAATAAACTTTGATATGTTCATGTTTTACTTGGTAGCAGATTGGAAGCAATGCTGGCTGGTTGTGGATTCTAATCAAAGAAGATGCAACAAAATGCACAAAGTGTTATCTTAATAGGGCAATGCTAGTGATTAAAATCAACACATTTAATTGGTGGCATCAAGTGTAAATTTTCAATCTAAAATAAATCTGACATTGCAACAAACTAAAAAAAAATGAGTACAGAAGCAGTATCTGAAAAAAATGGCCTCTTTATGGCTCTGGTTCTCAGTAATTGCAAAATTGCATTACAACATGAATATAAGTAGAAGTGACAAGATACATATCTGCAGTTGCATGGAAGAAGTCGCTTTACACAATGGCTTCTGAAGCTGCACAGATGATCTGTGTTCTCTAAATCAGGTGGATTATTTTCACTGAATTGTCCTGTTCGCCCTGTTCTGTCCCTTCGTCTTTCAATTTGGCCAGAGCATCACATGTGTGTAAATCCTAAGAAAGGGTGAGGATTCAGGAAGAAAAAAAGCAAAGATCTGTTCTATATTTTTGTAGTTTTGTTAAGATGTGGCCACTTAGAATGATGCGATTCTTAGAGGGCTCTGTTATGAAGACAAATGAGGCTTAGAATGAAGAAATAGCCAAAATAAATTAATAAATTGAGTTCAAGCAGGTGAAAGCACTGCAAGAAAACACATAAAAAACATTTAAATAAGGACTAGAATTTACCAAATAAATTGGAAATAATGTTCTAAAAACTGAATTACATAAAAATATAAGATTGAAGTGTTGTTAAATAATTTATTTGAATGGAACATATATGATGTACAGTTTGGGGACAACCTTCAGTCATCAAATCCGCTGTGGAAACAAAAAGCCTCTTAAAATATGCAAATGTGACACACTGTCACATAGCATCATTCAGATTAGCTTATAAGACATAGGCACTACATATAAATTATAAAATGATGTATCTGTCTCGTCCATTCCAAATTTGATGAAAACACAAAATTATCTGTAACTTTAATATAAATGCTGTGATGTAAACCCACATGCAGCAGGAATTAACCTAAAAATGAATTAAGGATAACTGTCAATATAAGTTAAGGTAAATAAAGTAAAGTATGTAATAGTTATTTCTCTTATCCCCCTTTAATTAACACTTTAGGTGTAGAAAACTTTAGTCTAGTGGAGTTTAACTCTCTTCTGTATTTCTTTCATAATTTCAGAGATGTCTGAAGATCTTATAAACTGTACTGCTTACAAAAGGCTGACACAGTGAGTGTACATGTGCAACAATGCGATGTTTATGATTTGTTTCTGCTGATACCGTAATGAGGCTCAGAAAGGACAAGCAGCCAAATGGACCGAAATAGACCAACAGTGAGTCAAATGATGAGGTTTGCAACCTGTTTAACCCTTTAAAAGAAGAACTGTAAAGCAGGAGACATAATAAAACCTTCAGGAACCTCAGCATTAAACTGTGAAGCCCTGCTAAAGTGTGGCTTCAGCTTGCCTTCAGAATTTTCTTTTCAATATGTGGTGACAGCCGATGTGGGGATTGGTTTATTTTGACCGATTCATCCCGGAAACAGGTCAGATATAAATGGTGATGGTTGATTCAGAGCACATACGGTATGAGACACAGTGGATGGGTGTGTGAGCACACTGAGCAGTCTATATGAAAATGGGTCAAGGTTATGTGTTGTCCTTTGGGACGATAGCTTAGAAGTGACTGAACCTGTGTGTCTCCGAACACGGATAATTATGCAGCATTGAAAAAAAAACTAGATACGAGGGCGTTTAGACATCAGTCAACCTCCAGAGGTTTGAACGATGTGTCATTTGCTTCCTGTTGATTCTAAATTTGAATTTCTGCCTCAAGTAACACGTAAAACAGTCAAATTTTATTTTTTTCAGGAGACATATGCAAATATATATATGGTTGCAGCAGTGTGTTTTACCTCATTCACGGGAGTTTCTGATGTTTTCTCCCTTTCACTCTTTCTTACTCTGTCAACAGTTGCCATGGAAACGGTTTTGCTCTTCCTCTCCTCACTCCTGGTGTGTGTAGCTGGTAAGTGCTCCCCTGCTTACCAAAAAGAAACACGCATGCACTGTCACAAAGCACCCATAAGGAGGCGCTGTTTGGGCAGACTGGGTTGCTTTGGCGTGAAAGCAAAGCCAGCCTCGGTGGGATGTTCAGCAAAATATCAATTACCACCTGAAAGCTTTATGAGTCACATGCACACACTGGCTCGCCCACTCAGTGTGTGAGGTCTCTTAAGATACGATGATATATAAAATAGTCTTTTTCTGCTTAAAATATATAACTCGTGCCATTTTGAGACACATTTGAAAGCAAACATACGTCAAATCATTTCCAATTCGTTCCCTGTGTTGCTTCTCTTTCCTTCTTCAGTCTTCCTCTAATCTCTTCATCTTGTCTGTGCTTTTCAGCTGAATCAGACCCCAGTGCTATGGGTAAGTGCCCTGCAGCTCCTATTTCCTAACAGGGTTGAAACTGAACATTTGGTTTCGAGATCATCCCCATAAGGATGTATGCACAAGAGTAAAGAGTAGCAAAAGTGCAAAAATATCAATACCAAATTAATGAGGTTTTTTTTTTGTTGTTGATGCCTTTGAGAACAAAAGTAAAAGTGCTAAAATTATTTATCTTGATCAGTTGTTCTTGAGGCTCTCCAATGTTGTTTCTGTTGTGTGTCTTTTTCTGAACATGTTTAACTTATTTCTGGAAGAAAAAAGTATTTATTTTGGTCAAAGTCCAACAGACGTTCAAAACACTATTAAGGAATAGCTTTGAAGAGGATGCCCTACAATGCATTGAAAAGCATTAATTCTTCTTGAACTTGTTTGACTTTATAACAATAGACTCCCTCCTGATTTGATTAAGCTTATCCAAGCTTTGTGGTACAAACTGGATAAGCCTCTGCATCTTCCTGCTCTCTTTTTGGAAGGTTTTAGATTTTTTTTACACGTCATTTTGTTGTTGTTATTTGAAAGAAACAAGAAAGAGAAAAAGGAAAGTTCATCATTGTGAAGTAGAAGTAAATAATATATATAATTTTCATTTGTTTTTCACCAGTAAACATATGAAATATCATTTGTTTTGCCCTCTTTAGGCTCTTACCACCAAATTAAATATAATAGATTGATGAGCCATGCATTTAGAAAATACAATGTGTGTAATTTAACCTAAGAATAAATACATCTGATAACAGTAGCCACATGTTTTTTATAGTGATCAAACATCATCATCATAAAGTATGAGAAAAAAACTTGTAGGTCTGAGAAAAAGTTACTGAGAAGTTTAAAACAGGGTTAGGTTATAAATCTTTGAATATCTCATGGAGTGCAGTTCAATCTATTATACAAAATGGGGGAAAAAACTTTCATAGCTGGAAACCTGTCAAATTGACGGCTGGTGTAGCAAAGCATTAAAAAGAGAAGCAGCCATCAAGCTAATAGAAACCTTTTTAAAAGCTGCAGACATCCACATTTTGGTGAAAAAATCTGTAGAAGGATTCATGGAAGAGTGGGGAGAAGTAAAGCAGGTCCTATTTGCCCAAATTCATCTGTAGGGGACACAGTCACCACAAGAAGGAGTGTCCTCTAAAATGAAAATTGAACATTTTGGCTGATATGTGTCATACATTTTGTGGCACTGCCAATTTCCTTAAATGAGTTCAGCTACAGGTGGGAAATATGTTAAAAATGTAGTTTAAGAGATATTATTAAATTACTTTGAAATGTATTTAAAATGTAACTGAGGATAGCGCAAAAGACAAGAGTATATTTTTATTTGTCCTGTAAGATTTTCTTTTTCTATGCTTTCACAGAGGAGCATTCAGTGGCTGAAAATCCTTTTATTTATGGTAAGTTTAAAGCAGACGACTTGCAAATGACCAAAGTGTTATCAGACATATGTATGAAACCAATAGCAAATACACTGCTTTACAAGATGTGTAAATTATTGCGTTTTTTTTTTGTTGTTGTTGTTGTTCAGATTATGAGAGTTTGAGAATTGGGGGATTGACGTTTGCGGTGATCCTGTTTATGCTGGGCATCCTTCTAATCCTCAGTAAGAACATTTCTGATTCCTCTGTTTGACCACATCTACATGCACTCAAAATAATTTCGAACAGAATCAAACGTAAAGGTCTCTCAGGATGTCCTGTAATTATAGTAGCACTTCTTCAAATTTTTAATCCCACTCTTAACCATGAAAATGTAAAAGATATGTCTTATGACATATTCAGAGGTCAGGTGATGATTTGTGTCTGCTTGTAGGTCGACGATGCCGCTGTGGAGGAAAACAGAAGCCCAGGTAAGCCCGAGTTTCTGCTGAGCTGAAGAGAAGAAGAAGACTTGGTCGTGACCGACCTTTAATGTTTTTGTCTATCATTAGTTAGTGATGCTGACAACCTATAAACTCTCTCTGCAGGGCCCCTGGAGACGAGGAGGTACAGGAAGAGAACCTCATTGTCACCAAGGGTAACAATCATAAATATAAGTTGATGCCTTTGAGAACAAAATACACATAATTAATTCTGTGTTGAATTTATCAAACCCCTTTTCTTTAGCAACATATTGTGTCCACTGCCATGATATATTTTAGTAAATGTTAATAATGTGTATTCTAACCAGTCTCATATTCCATAAAAGGCCATTAAAAATTCTATCTGAATGTTTTTTGAATATATATATTTTTTTACGTTAAGCGAGCAAAAAGTCCTCGTTTGGCGATTTTCAAGCTTTGTAAAGTGTTGAATAAATAAAGTCGAAGACTGCTGAGCGATAAGTTGAACCTGGCTCCTCATAGTGAAAATAAGAACAGAGTAATGTTGGTTGATCATTTTCTAAAGCTAATCTCAGACATGCTGCAGTTTTTGACATTCAAATCACATTCAAAGTGGTGACACTTTTGACTTGTGAAAACTCTTAGTCCTTGTCATGACAACATGAGTTACTTTACGTTAAAGTCATTTCTGTCAGATGTCAGATTAAAACTTCACCAAATCTGTTGACAAAGTTCAATTTAACATGACAAAAATCCAAGCTGGCAGTGCCTTTTTTGCATATATAATTTAATGTTTCCCCTATTAAGAACTAATACTTATGGAAGATGTACCCTATTTTCACCCCATTTTGTCCCATAATACCACAAAATCCAATGTATTTTTTTAGACTTTATTAATTTGATACCCTCACACTTTACACAGGACTTCCTAAGCTTTCTTTCACCAATCACTTTCCTCTTAGTACTTGTCTTCAAAGCAAGGATTAGTAGAGTTCGTGACAGATAGTTGGTCCCCCACAGCCTATTGGCTGTTTCTAATTATTTTCTTGCCTGATCTATTAATTTGTCAGGATACTTGGGAGTTTTTCTCATTTCCTTTCTATTTCTGAATAATTAAACAGTGCTTTGTTGAATTTTCAGACTTGGAATATATTTTTAAAACACAGATCTGGCTTAACTTTTCCCGATGCGTTTCTCATGATGCTGTTTGTTCATGTAAACTTCTCTGAGTCCTTTTTCAGAACAGCAGTGTTTATACTTAAAATCAGATACATACAGGTGATCTCTATTTGCTACATATAAAGCAAATGGTTGCACTGGATTTATCTAAGGACAATAAGTAAAAACAAGGCTGAAAACAAATGCATGACACATTCTTCACATTTTGGATTATTAAATTGTATAAAGAAAGTATCGTTTTCCTTCCAATTCGTGGGATACTTTTTGCAGATCTCCCACACTATAAATACATTGCATGGTAGCTGGCATACTCCACAGTACTGAATCTAAAACCTATTTCTCTGACCCATTTCAGCTGCAGCGGCTGCCAAAGAGACTCCAGCAGAAAACTGAGGCGACAGGAGCGCAACAATAATATATATAAAAAAAAAAAAAAAACCCCGTGAGGTTTATTCTAGTTAGTTGTACAGGAGGGTGAGGACATGGTGTACACGTTTAAAAATGTAACAAGTGAGTAGATCTTTTGCCAGGTGTTAAATTTTTTTTGTGAGTTGTCCTTCAGTGCTCTTGTCAAATGCTGCGCCTTTTCTGTGACCGTCTTTCACTGCAGCTTGTTGTGGCATCTTTGGCACAAGTTTGTCTTATAAATTCTTGAGATATTTCCAGTGTTGTGAGTTCAGATGTTTCGTTGTGCTTCTACTACTTGACTTTAGGTTTTAGGATTTGTGAATCTGTTGCTCGTTTTCCCAGCCGTCCTGAGAAAAAAAATTGTCATATGTATATTATAAGATACATGCATATATATACAGTATTTATACTTAAATACTTTACATATGAGCTGTTTAGTCAAATATTCTAGATCTATGTTTGTGTTTGTATGGTTAGGCGTGTTTGGGTGAACATGTGTACAGGGCTGGATTTAGGAGAACGTGGCCCACAGGGTAAATCCATTCCAGTAAAAGATTAAAGTAATAAAGTTAAACATTTTTTTATTTTTAACAAGTTTTCAGTTCTTGTGTGTCTTTGATTTATCAGAATTTTTGCAGCTTATCAAGACCTGAATTGTATCTGCTGAAAAGAGACATGTTGGCCCAAAATATTTCACCATCTATGCTAGAGCTGTGGTCTTACTGCCAAATGCAGAATTACACTGCTCCATCAGAGCCAGTAGAAGTGTCTTAGTGCTATCAATCACTCTAATGTATGAGCTGCAGCTATGCTAATGGGGAGGAAACAGCTGACAATTACAGGAAAACAATTTATTTGCCATCAACTGGTGGTCATGCTTACTAGCCTGCATGTGCTATCACAATATGTTAAACGTGTTTTTTTGGGAAAAAAAAAAGTTACATACTGCGTCTTTAACAACAACCCCCAAAATGCTGTACCGACAGGCTACTGCCCTGGTCCCCCTTTTTCTTAAGTCCGGCCCTGGACGTTTATTGTTTGGTGTGCAGGATTGTGAACAAATCACATCTGCTCTGATCGTGTATCTCTCCATGTAGACATGTTTAGCCTTTTACAAGACAATCTCAGCACTGCTCTCTGAGCAGGATTCGCAGGTATCTGCACGGTCTCCTCCGATGTTGTGTTTTTTTTTTTTATCTACTTTTTTTTTTAACCACCTGAAGCGGAGAGAGCTCACACATCAGCTGTGTCACTGCCTTTATTCTCCACATATCTACTGCACTGCTGCATCACCGGCTCCACTGGGATTAACCGGTCTCTTGCAGGCAGCGATTAACTTCCCCTCCACTTGCAGTCGCTAGCGCTGCAAGCTCTTTAAAGCAGGGGAAGTGTTCTTACTCTGTTATTATTTTTGCTGTCACAGTTGTTCTTTGTTTGTTTTTTCTCAAATGACTACACATTCCCTGGAAGATGAAGTGTGGATGATCTGTTGAGAGGTTTAACCTCAAAAGCTGTGTTATTTCTGTGCCAGTCTATATTAAAAGCAGCTATATGCGAGCTAAAGCAAAGAGTGGGAACAGACTGCTGTACAACTACTGCTGTGTTCATCTCCTTCATAAAGCCTTGTTGTGTAGCAACCTGTTGTGCTTTTGGCATAATTGAATAAAAGTGTGGTCAAAGACAGAGTGTGCCTTTAATCTATTTCTTTCTGTAAAACGTCTCCTTTTCTCCACAGTCTTTTATGCTTGAAAGCATTAAGATGTCACTGATCCTGCATCAATGTCAGTCAAGGTTGTTCCACTGTCAAAGCTTTGAAGCAGCTCGTGTGGAAAGGGGTTCTTTTGCAACAACGTAGATTGTAACGTCCTCCTCTTTTTCTTTCACGATTCCAAAGGTTGTCTTTTCTCCTCTACATCTGCGCTATGTTTATGACACTGTGAATATGTAACCAAGAGGTTGCACTGAAGTGTGGTGGAAGGAATGGAAAACTTGTATGTGTGTGTGTGTGTATGTCTAGGTGTGACGGTATGTGTGTGTGCAAGTGGGTGGATCTGTAAGTTAGGAAGATGGGACCACCCAGCACATGCCCACACACACCTGGACAGAGGTAATACAGAACCTTCAGCAGCTCAGGTAGGTTATTTCTTGTTTTGTAAGAATATTTCATGAATAAATCATGCTTGTCATTGAAAATTGTTTCATATTCATACTTATGGTGCATTGCATATTACAAAAGTGTAAGAAAGGGTCGAGTTTCTGCTTAGCAAAGTTGATACCGTATTTTGAAACTTACAGTTTGTATGTATTGTAAGAAGTATTTTCTCCAAACCAGTGATACACATTAAATAGGTATATATGTTAAAAAGTTTAGATTACTTAATTTGGATGTTCTTCTCAAGCGTACTTTTTTTTAGAGACTGTTTTTGCTGTACGTCTTCCTTAAAGTCACCTTGTATCAACACTGCGGAAAGAGCGGCTAGTTTTTCTATTACTTTTATCTGACTGATCAAGGTTCAAGGTTAATGAATATTGGAGCCATAATGCATTAATGAGTAACCTCTTTGCCCTTGGTGAATGTCCTCAAGCTCACTGATGGATGGAAAAGGCCAGGTCACATAATACATAGAGCAGTGAAGTCCATAATTCAGTGAGGTGTGTTTCAGCTGAAAGGAGAGACAGCTAAGGAAAATGTTAGTCTGTTAATCTGTGGGAGTTAATGATTATAGGTCAAAAGATGTAGCTCAAAGGAAAAGATTTTCGCTCTGTGTGTGTGTGTGTGCGTGCGTGTGTACGTGTGTGTGTAGTTCAAGGGTAATGGTAGAAGGAATGGAGTGTAAAAGTTCAATAATACCATTAGCCTCTTTAAATTCCCAGCAAAGATCAAAGCAGTCACATTGTGGCTGCAGCAGGAAACCTAATGAGGCAATTTGTCAGAACACACACTGTATAGAGTTTCTGTGCCTTTCACTGAGCGTTCATCTAAAATAAAGAAGCTGAAATTAATTAACTTCAACAGTTTTTAGGCGTACATTAAAATGAAGGCCATCGTAAACAAAAAAACTTTCACCTTTACCCCTGAAAAAAGCATTCGGACACCAAACCCGCTGAGAATACTCAGCAATGTGACAAATAACTGTAATACATGACGTAATAATTTGGATTTTGATGGCCCACTGGATGTGGTATGTATTTGTTTTGTTCACTTTTTGTTTTCTGTTGGTACAGCTGAGTCAAGAGAACTCACACAGACAAAGCACCATGTCTTCGGCAAAAGGTGAGTGAAGCCGCTCATTACCACTTGAAGTGGAAAAACACTTTAGCATGGCACCGTGCAATTACTCAGTCACAGTCACTCTCAGCACAACAAACAGCTGCAAACTAATAAATCCTACCTTACTACCTTACACAAGCTACTGTCCATTTTTTATTCTGCTTCTTTGAAACTTGAGCATAAACATAAACATCCTGTAGCATGAGCATCCCGTAGCATTGCAGTAGCTTGTCGCTGAGGTGGCTTTTAATGCGGGCGCCAGCCCTCACCACTCAAGGTGGTATTGTGTCAGAGAGAGCAGGGAAATAAACGTTGTCCATTTCGCATCTTCTGTTGCTCATTGTTTGTCAAGTTAAACCTGAGTTGGTGCTAAATGTATTGTGCACAGTGGCAGAAAATATGCAAAAACCCTGAAGCCAGCTAATGACACCGAAGGTGGTATTTTATTAATGTGAACTTCCAAGTCTAATAGGAAGTTCAATAACTTTTTCTGTCATTGATGCGATCTGTACTCCAATGCAAACAATTACACAGTTAATTTATGCTTAATAAGGGGTAGATTACTTAAAAAGGAAAATAAAACCTGTTATAGTTTCACTTTAAAAATATTCTTTTTAATTTTGTTTAAAGTTTTCTGCTTCTGTCCTTTCCTTGTCTCCGCTCAGATGCAGCAATTGACTGGGATGCAGACTTTACATACGGTGGGTAGTTGTTTCCTGGAAATCTACATTTGATAATAGAACAGTGTGCTGCATGTATTGCCAGCATGAATTATAAGGCATGAAAAAAGCTATTTTTAAATGGGCAATTAAAGAAAAACAGAAGAATTATTGGCTGCATGGTGGCCCAGTTGGTGGCACTGTTGCCTTGCAGCAAGAAAGTCCTGGGTTTGTTTCCTGCCCCCGGTTTTTTCTTTTCTGCATGGAGTTTGCATGTTCTCCATGTGCATGTGTGGGTTCTCTCCGGGCACTCCAGCTTCTTCCCACAGCCCAAAAACTGTCAGGTTAATTGGTCTCTCTAAATTCTCCTGAGGTGTTAGTGTGTGTGCATGGTTGTTTGGCCTGTCTGTTCTGTGCTGCCCTGCGACATACTGGTGACCTTTCCAGAGTGACCCTACCTCTCACCTGAAATGTTAGCTGGAGATTGGCACCAGCAACTCCAGACTCTTCTAGGAACAAGGGTGTTAGAGGATGGATGGAGAAGGATTACTGAGCATAAAAAGAGAAAAGTAGATTATAGCGTTAAAGTAATTGTGATGACTTGGTGATGTTTTTTTTTGTGCAAATTTTCAGACTACGAAACACTGCGTATGGGAGGACTGATCTTCGCCGGAGTTGTCGTGTTCCTTTCCTTCGTTCTGTTGCTTGGTAAGTCTTTCTCAACCTTATGTGTGGACACTTTGGGTTTGCATGATAAAAGAGATGTAATAAAAAAGAGAACAATGATACGTGAGTGTTGAACCTGGATTCCTCCAGTCAGTGTTTGGCTGGAAAGACTTCATTGGCTTCAAAAGAAAGTAGTTAAAAGGCAGCCAGAAAATATAAATATTCGGTTTATGGGGCTTGGTTACTGCAATGCTTCCATAAACTGATGTTTTGATTTTAATACAAATAAAGAAAACAATAGATCTTTTCTTTTTCTTCTTAGGTAACAAGATCAGAAATTGTGGCAAACCCAAGGTAAGTTTGCCCATGACCAAACCTCACGTGGATTTATAGGGACATCTGCAGGCCATAATGGGAATCACATTTTTAATCAGTGGTTGGGAAATTTGTACCAGTATGAAACACTGACAAGAGATATTTACTTCTACTTAGAAATACTTATTTAAGCTGTTTTATTTTTCTTCATGTTTTGGTTGGGCTATAGAAACCTCCACCTTCAGATTGTGAGTTGAAAGCCATAGTTTTGAAGAACCACTGGTTTAAAATATTTATGAGATGATTATTAATTTTTTTTTTTAAATTAAAAAAAATGTTTTAGTCATAAAAGCTGATATTAACATTTAATGGTGATTACATTAAATCTAACGTATTTGTTATTATCCTCAGCGTAAACCTGTTCCAGAAGAAGATTACTGAGCCAAGCCAAGGAAGCAACCGAAAAAACACAAAAGGATGCAAGAATATGGTACTGTCAGTTGTTAAGTGTGTGACATGAAAACATTTTGTATTAATAAAGTATATGTAAGCGGAATGCATTGTCACTGTAATCACTGATTCCTTGAGCCACAAGAATAACAAGAAGAAGATACCTGGATTTCAAACACAGAAAAAGAACAAATTTCCCTTTCATTGTGATGAAATGCTTGCCTGCTCTGTGTGTTTGGTGTTTCCCCTTTTTTGTGTTTGTTCAGTGAAAGTGTAATTCCTCTTTTAAAAATTTAAAAATAACCACAGAGTGCTAAAATCAAGAAACCTGCAAGTTTAGCTTCCCCATAGACAATTATGATGCAGTAAAGTGCACTAGAAGTTAACTGTGAGTTAAAACTTCCTGTTGTGTTTATGTGAATGTGTCATTGTTAGCTTTGCAGTACATTTACTGCATCTGAGGACATGGACAATTTTAACATTGGTGTTCTTTACACCTAAAAGAACACAATATGAACAGAAGATGTTTATATTTATAATAGGACAAAAATTCAAATGGAACATTTATTTTACAGTGTTTGAGTGGGAAAACAGCAGTGCTGTCTCAGTACAGTAATACTCCTGAACAAAATCTATAAATACTGTTGAAAAAAGGTGATGGCAGGATCATGCTGTGGGAATGTTTTTCTTCCGCAGGGAGATAGAAACCAGTCAGAGTTGGTGGGTCGATTGTTGAAACTTAATGCACTCAATCCTGCAAGGAAGCTTGTTAGAAGCTGGACTACACTTGAGACAGGGTCAGAGGTTCCCTTTCCATCAGGACAACAACAGTGAACAAGCAGTCAGAGCTGCAAAGAAACAACACATACAGTATTGCAAAAATGGTATTAATGAAAATGATAAAAAATGGAAAAATACTTTTTTTTCCCTCTCCATTATTCACTCACTGAAACGTTTATTAATTCCAAAAAATGTAATCAAGGAAAACCAAAAAGATTGCATTTCAATCTGGAGAGACTCACACAGAGAAGAGAATAGCAGTTAGAGATTTAATGATACAGAATCTTTGGCGCTCGGCCCCGGCTGAAGACTGTGAGTCGCGGATCACCGCGGGCAGGACATCAGCTCGGCTGAGCTCGGACAGTCTTCCCCGGGGCCGAAACCGGTGGTGGAGCTGGGTGCAGAAGAATCCTGGAAACATCCATCAGAACGGAGGTGGAGAAGAGGGGAGGAGGTGGGTTGTGCACAGCGACGAGCGGGTTGACCCTCTGGTAGCTTGGCTTTTGAAGACGGTCCTGGATGATGATAGGCCCAAATCGGAGAGTTGCTCCAGCCCTGATTGGTTGAGGTAGGACGTGGCGATTGCGAGATGAATGTCAGCTGGATCGAGTCTCCCAGGTTGAATTTACACCTAAGCTTCATTTGAAGCTTGGCTTCTTGGTAGTGAGGAAAAGAAAACACAAGATGGGGCTACTGGACAAGAGAAAAACACCACCGGCTGCAAAAAACTCTCCAAGGCCGAAACTCCAAGCTCCTGTTTGAAGACACAAACAGGGAAATGACAAGTAAGTGAAAAGTTGCTGAAGGACGGCCAGAGATCTAAAGATCTGTTTGTGCAAGTTATGCTATTTTTTGTTGTTGTTTGTTTTGTTTAAAAACATCAGGGCGGGATCGACATCGACAGAGGAACTAATTCTCCGAACAGATGAAGCTTATCAGATAAATGACGATGTGTTAAGTGTTTTGTGGTTCCAAGGGGAAAAAAATGATCCTCTGTTGCCATTGGTCACTAAACAAAAACTGGACCAAGCACTTTGCCCTTACATCAGAGTCTACTGAAGCTGATCCATAATAGGCTGGGCCTCTGTTTTTTTTTTTTTTTTTTTTTTCCATTTTAATGATGCCTTTATAGCTGACAAAGCACATAAATCATATCAGCAGAAAAACCACACCTGATTAATAACCCCAGAATAAATAAGCCATTACAAGAAGAGACAGGCGCTGTCAAGCGAGTGAGTCCCAAGGACCCCCAGTTCTCCATCCATCTCTGTCTGGCACTCCTCTTTGTTCCCACCCGGAATGAAGCCCCAGGACTTCATTAAAAAAAAAAATGAAGTTGTAAAAGTTGCTGCTTTGTAGTGAAGTATACAGTTTTTCCACCCCCCACTCCCTGATACCAGCGGCATCTCCTGGGCTCATTTCAGTTGTTTTCCATCAGGGTTTCAGCTGAGGCAAGTGTGAGAAGCCACCTGATAACATCGCATCAGAAGGGGGAAGTTTAGAGAGCAATAGAACCACATACTGTTGCAAATTATGCTGGACAGGTGTGAGAGCTGATCAGATAGAGTTCCCACGAGTCTTTATGGGACTGGTTACTGTTCAGAGTCCTGCCCAGAAAGCTAACAGCCTCGGGGGTTTCCTGCAAAAAGCAAACAGGTGGAGGCATTTAACACTTCCTTATTTAGCATCTTTATGAAACGCCTCAAGACGTACGAGGAACAGCGGTGCCTTGTGAAACTGTTCATACTACTCAAGCTTGTTCATGATTTTATTTAGGGGTACTTTAGTTGAGAAGGCAAAGTACATATAATCCAATCATCAAATTTCAAATGCGGGAGGGGGATACATGTGTATGTCACCATCACTCATGAATTATGTTTTGGTTGCATAAAACCCCATTAAATACATATTTTCAATTTATACTTTGCATTATACCTATTAGTGGTTGTAATTTGACAACTTTTGAAAAAGATCAAGATATTTTAATTCGTATTGTAACACTGACCATATTAGAAAAAGACCCAAAAAACTTTAGATTATAGATAGCATATCAATTATAAATGTAAAAAAATTGAGCACAAAACTACATAAGTCAGCCCTGAAAATAAATGCAGGTAATTTGTGCTTCACTGCACAAATTACCTGCATCACTACCATAAGAACAAGTAGGTAGTCCATACTGGTGTGGTTTTGTTCACTTTAAAATGGCAAGTAATTCACCGAGAATAATTTGTGGCTTTGCAATAGATGTTCTTTAGTTTTTTTTTGTTTGTTTTTTTAATCAGATGTCTCTATTCCTTCAGAGTTTGCTTGGTTATAGTTGGTAAGATATGAGCTAAAAGCACACAAGTGTGTTTATTTATATTTTCATGAAATGTTTCAAAGGATCACTTTTCAACAGCTCATGGTTTTTCTGTCTTGGGTCTGTTTTCCTTTCCTATGTAACCATTTGTTGTTGATTTAATATTATGCAATAGACCAGAAAGTCAAAGTGATGAGTGTCCACAGTAGTTTCATTATGTTTGTTTGACCCTTATTTATGATCTGATTACTGCAGTTTCTTTGAATGACTGCTCACAACTGGTATAATACCCCTATACCCTTGGTATAGTTGTGTAAAACTATACCGGGGTATAGTTGTGTGGTATAGTTGTGTAAAATGCCTCAAAATAATTAAGTGTGATTGGAGCTACACATTCTGGATTCTGGCTATATTTGGTTGTCATTGAAACAGATAACTGGTACAGTGAGATATAGTTTGTCACTTCCAATGAATCAAACTTGGTACTAATCTTTTAACCAAATTTAGTTAAAATTCTGTTTTCTTACAGAGACAAACAACTATTTGTCTTTTTTCTAATTAAATGTTGCTTGGTGGTTTTGTCCTGGTTAATTTGATGAAAATACTGTTGCACTGTAATTGCTTCCTTATCTCTGAAAAATACTGCTGTATATTGAAAACGGTTTTGACTGTATTTCTTAGTACTGAAATTGAGTTTGACTTTTTTGTATTTCAACGTTACTCACTAGTTCTACATGCATTGTACAATAACTATGACGCGACGCAGGGACTCTACCTTATCAGTCACTCGGTTAAATGCGGACCGTTGCCTATCTTGCCGCCACTCACAGTGAGCATGTTAGTAATGGAGGTAAAATATATAATTCTTCAAATAGGCAGCTTGAGAACTGGAGCAAAGAGTGACATTTTGAACAAACTACGTGGCATCTAAGAAACCATTACAACAATTACTTATTAGAAAAAAAAGCAAGAGTTTTAATCAGTAAACTAAAAATGAGTCATTGCTGGATATTTCAGCAGATGATGCAAAACATGTGAAAAAAATCAACACATATTGGTTAAATAGACACAAAATCAACCTTCCTCTATGGCTATATCAAAAGCAAGATACAAATCTTGCTTTTACTAAGGACATTTAAAAAAAAATAGCATTATATGTCAAAAATCTGGCACTGATCTAATATTCAAGAAATCTACTATCAGTCACAAAAAACTTTTTCATTAATAGCCAAAAGAGAACTAAGTCAGTATGTACTGTAATCATATTATTGATAACATCTTCAGCTGTGGCCACTGGGTGTCACCAGATATCTCTGATCAATATCTGCTCATCTGATATGCAGCGAAGGTGTTTAACATATTCAAATTGCTATGATTTGACAATTTTATTTAATTTTATTACTAAGCGTTGCATATTTCACTTTATACTATTGAAGATGAAACCTGAAGCCAAAAACTACGTTGGGATGTCACCGAATTTGAAGTAAGAGCAGCAGATCTCCAGGTTGTCCCAAAGAGGACGCCTCCAGCAGCAGCCATCTTGGAAGTACGGCTATCATCTTGGTATGATGTTTGTGTCGAAGGTGCTACATCTGCTTCTGAATCTCTTCACTCCTCATATTTATTTTATTCTCCGAATTTCACATATGTTTGCATATTTACCTTGCACGTCTTTCGCAGCATGTAGATGATCTCATTTGCAAATCAGGGGCGGGGAAACAAGAGAAAATATGAAGACATGAATTCTGGCTGATGCCCCCACCCTTCTCTCTTTGCCCTGCCTTGAACAGAAAATACACCTCCACTGCCCCTCACCCCAGTCCATAACTATCCTCTTCAGCTCATTTGAATAAATTAACACCCCTCGATGTCTTATGGGCATGTACTGTCATGCGTGTGCAAACACAACCACGTTCGGGCAAATGAATCCCCGACGAGAACAGCCGGAGATGTTTGCCCCGTGCTTCGCCGTCATACATACGCATTCTCAGATGTGCTGAGACACTTTCTGCTACAACTATCACGCATGCTTAGTTGAAGGCAAACACAGGATTGGCTGGTAGCTTCCTGTTAATGTGCTGCTGTATACGGTCGTGTGTGTGTGTGATTCATTTTAGCTTTATGCAGCATGCGGAGACGGAAAGGCTGGCACCGCTGAGAAACTCTGAAGTCTACAACAATCTGTGGCTTCTTTTATGTTTCTAGAGTGTGTGTTCTGCCTTAAATTGTCCTATTTGTTTAAGGATTCATAAACTATGTCATTTGTCCAATCAACTGATTCAGTCTGCTCCACCAATCAAAACTGTCCTCCATCATTCCCATGCCGGCACTTCTCTTCGTTCTCGTCTTGATCTCAGTGACCTTGCGCAGAGCGAAGCAGCAAAGCCATGCACACGATCCTCCTAATTTTAACCTTGCAGAGGTTTCACTGGGCTTTGGGCAATGAATTAATACCGGACACATTAATGCAAATATGATCCTGGCATGTTTGGCAGCGCCTGAGGGGTGTCTCTGATTGCCTACACATTAAGCCCTCCTGTTTTTCAGTCAACAAAACCTCTTCCTTCCACTTTCCCTATTGCATAACCATTCTATCCTCCTCCCTTATATTTTGAAGAACAGCAGTGCACAGCGATGTGCAAAGGGATAGTAGGAAATAAGTGTGGTGGGCCTGTCCTGGACTGCTGCTCTCACTCTCAGTCTCTGGAGCTCTCTGGGAGCTACTTGCTTTTTCACTGGCCCGGCTGGCTGGTTGGCCGGCCGAGCTCAAACTGTCAGTCCCCATGACGATCACTGGCTGACGTATAGCATAACCTGCTTGGTGCTGTCACACCGACTCGCGTCATCCCCCCTAACCATCTTGCCACATTGCTTTTAGGAGACATTCCTTGTGTGTTATCATACAAGGCAGATGGCTGATGCTTCTGTGCGAAGAGCTTTAGTGTGTTGAGTCCTGTCCAATGGTCTGTTTGTTTCTGACCAGGGAAGTTGCAGAATGCAGGAGAGAAGTGGTGAGGTTAGCGCAGAACAGTCAGATGTAGAGGTTGACACAGACAGGCGACCAAGCGCCTGTGATTTTTTTACTTAATATATTCTAACTGGTGATGATTGCAAACCCTCAAATGTTTTTGGTTATAATCTGTTGGACTTTGCGCTTAGTTTGGCTATTTTGGTTATGTTGTTCCATCTGGTGTTTTATTTTTGTGTTCTTGATCACCTGTGTCGCTTTGACCTCTGTCTCAGTTTCCTTCCGGCTATTTAAACTTCATACGTTTTTTTTATTATTACTATTTTTAGTGTTTAAAACATTTGGCCATGAAAGCATAATTAAATACTAATGTATTCTAAAATATTATTAATGAAAATGATGTGTTTCTTGCAATTCAAGAAACAATGGACTATGGTCGTCTGTTTTATGATCCAGCATTTGTGTTTGCTTGGCTCTGACCATGCACATTGATAGATCTATGACGTAAACAACTGTGGTAAATTTTTAAAATACATTTAGAATATTTTTCAGCAATGTTGCAAAAAAAAAAAAAGATTAATATGGTATAATTTTCTTATAAATTGGTTGCAAATTTGGCAAGATTTTCATTTTCAGATTTTTATTTTTATTTTAGTCAATGTATAACAATCCATATAAATAAAAGTAATCAGATCAGGTATGGATTTTGGTTTTAAATGTGCACATAAGTATCACAAAAACCATGGATTTTTATTCATGAATATTATCATGACATCAGAATGACAAACCACACCATGCTTAGTGCCCTTGATGCTCCAAAAGATTTACATCCACACAAGTACTCACTCTCTGCCTCTGTGTATATCACTTTTATTGCATGGTGTTTGTGTATTCCTATTTTTTGGCTCCGTGTGTGTCAGAAAGAAAAAGAGAGACAGATCGCGTGGGTTTGTGGGTTTCCACCTGTTACATAATAAAGAGTGGAGGCAGAATCTGCTTCCTTCCCTGGCACACTACAGCGGCTCCTCAGTGGGAGTGCAAGGGCTCCACAGCTTGCCTCAGCTCCACTAAACGACAAGAAATGCTTTTTGATTATGCCTCTCAAAACACCGCCTTGCACTCTAAAAACTGCTGGGTCATTTCTTTAACCCAAATGCTTGGTTAGTACCATCAGGACAGATGCTGGGGAGTTTTAAGAAAATAAGTTTGTAGGGGTGGAGGAGAGACTAAAAAGAAGACTCATTATTTTTCACAGGCACACTTTTTTTTTCCACCTTCAGTTGACCTAATTGCTCTTCAACCAACGTCTTCCTCGGGATAAAATAAAAATGGGTAAGACAGCAAAATAATGCTGCTTACTCACAGTGAAGTCAGTTGTTCAACCAATGATTACGTTCACACTAGAGATCAAGGTTGCTCTCTTTGGAGACAATTAGCCTTTATGCTAAGAACTATACATAGCTGCTGGTGTGCACTGATCAGTATTTCTTAAAACTCGTCAAAGGAGGGAACAGTGGCTGACCAGTGATCATGTGATCAGTATCAGTCATCATGTGATCAGTATCATGGACAGCCAAGGTTCCTGGATGCACATAGAAAGTGAAAGCTGGCCTACTCTAGATTGTGTTTATTATTGACTGTTCTTGTAATTGCACTTGTAAGGATTCAATATTTGCCTTTTTAAAACTTTGGAGTTTAAAAAAAAAAAGTTAGGTCAGAAAAATACCTCCAAGTGGGTTGTGTTCTAAGGCAAATATTTTTTAGAGCATAGCCAGGCAGAGAGCTGTCTGGGAATTCAGACTGTTAAATATCAGATGAGTTGTACATTTGTTATGACAATAAGTGAGGTAATCCTGTGAGGTCAGTGCAAAGAGCCAGATTATGTCCTGTGGCGGATCACAAGGTGACGAAGTTTGCAAACGTAAAAGAGATAGTTTACATAGATAGTTTACATAGTGACAAGGAAACATGCCGGCGATACATCCTATTTGCTCCATGACGCAGAACATGCAAAATACTTGGACGCGTCTCTTTTTACACCTGCTATTTAAAGCTGCATGTCGGAGATGCCCAAGTTCAGGCCTGCTGGAATCATGCAACTTTTAGGCGCATCTCTGCTCCAACACACCTGAATCAAATAGCTGTATGTATTCCATCACCAGTAACTCATACAATCATTATAATTTAGTAGCTGCGTGTTGCAATCTACTAAATTATACATTCCAGTAAAGTTACTGGTTCTATTCTCAATTTGTTCCTTAATTTGGGTCTTGATAACTATTTTCTTAATAGTATTATCGAAATTATCATCTGCGTAAAGGACCCGCTGTCTGTAGCTATATGTGGGCAGAGCGCATTCCGAAGCGGACTCTACGGAATCTTTGCGCTTCCCCTCATCCATCTACTTTGACACTTCATGATCCGTTTTTAGTTTTTCTATTATATCCAGTTTCAAGATTGTTTTACGATTGAGAACATCAGCCCAAACCATCTTAAACTTTTATGCAAGAAAGATTTTTTATTTAGTTTGAACTCGGATTTTCCTCAGTTTACAGAGTGAATTCATCAGGTCATTGCGCGTAAAAGTGCTGTCTCCAGCGAGTTTTTTTTTTTTTTCACCCGCACATCTGAACAGTGCGTTATCGTTGTAGGCTATCTCTCCAACACACGGAGCATCATTTGGATAGCGGGGGTGGAGCGAGCAGCAGCCTGTCCCGGTAAGGGGAGGGGAGAACGGGGAGCAGAGGCGGTTCTTTCCTCGGCTCTTCGCTTTTTCGGAGCTGGAGAGTGTTGGGACCAGGGCTGGAGAAGACCGCCGGGGAGCATCAGAGAAAAGATCCGGTCCTGTGCACGGAGCCTCGACTGGGCGAACGCGGCGCCGTGCGCTTTTCTTTTTTTGGGGGGGACTGCACAACATTCCTGTGAAATATAACTGCTATTAATGGCATGTGGCTTGTAACTTTACTCCTGCTGTATTCTTTGCAAGAAGGTAAGCTGGAGATTTCAGTGTTTGCCTTGTCTGCATGTTGCTTCCTCTCTAAAAAAAAAAAAGACGCTGAAGTTGGCTGGCTGATAGATTTGAAATTTAACATGCTCTATAGGACGCGCACCCAACTCCAAACCACTGTTTGAAGAAGACAGAAAACTTTTTCTTTTCCTTTTTAAGGTGTTTATTCTTTTGTCGGCCATCAGTTTATCATAAATTGCTGCTTGGATTAACGTCTGCATACCCCCAATGCTGATTAATCTGATTAGGCGCAAATAAATTATAGAGAGGAAGACAAAAATCAGCAATCACTTTTATTTGTGTGAAGCATAAAAAACATAAAGTTGAGCACAAACTGCAATCTTGTTGCAACCAGAAAAAAAAGAAAAAACAGGAAAAAACAAAAAGCTGCAGTATTAGCAATTTTGCATGATGAATATGAGAATGTGCCGTGAATATGGAGGCTGTTGAACAGGAGGAGAGGCTGATAGCAATCTGTGTTGATGAAGAGCGCGGATGGTGGGGCTCTGGGGCCGTTTCCTCTGAAAAGTCCGAGCCGATGGAGAAGTTTAAAGCTTTTGCAGATCTTTTCTGTCCAAGCAAGATGTTAGAGAGCGAGTTTGAGTGGATGTGGTTGCGTGCGCCCGCGCGCGCGCGCACGGAAATGTGTGTGTTGGAAGTGCAGAAGGCAAAAAATGGAGTGTTAGGAGTAAAAGCATCTTTCCCCTTTTATCTCAGTTTGGATTTGTTGTTGTTATAGGTGCCAAAAATAGATCTTTCTGAGGATTTTGCTTAGTTGTTTAATTCCTGCGAAAGCAGAGCAAAAAGGGGTCAGTAGATTTTGATGAGATGAAGGAGATGCTCAGGTGATGCTTTCCACTTGGATGTTTTAAAATGCGAGAAAAATCCAGTTATAGTTGGGTTTCCTCTGCTAAAATGTCGGAGTGACTCAGTTGTTATCATCCTTGCTCTAATTATTCATCCACCATTTTCTGTGCCACTACATTGTACTGATTGGCCTTGCTCTGAACACTGCAGATGCAAGATAATTAGTCATTTTCTCCCCTTTCTTTAAAAATCAAAAACATTTAAATATTAATCTAAGAATTAGTGGGGGAAAATATGCATATATATAAATATCTGCATATAGATAAATATTTATGTAAAAAGAAAATCAAAAGAATCTTAGTTCAATCCGCTGCTTTGACAAGCGACTTTGAATCTGGATGCTTAAATATAATGAAAGTTTATTCATATGAACTAATATGTTTGTTTCGTGAGTGTTAGACGTTTGTAGTCGCTGGCCTTGGCAGTGCCCTTTGCTGGGGTGCACCTGCGCGGTGGGGGACTTCTGGGCTGTTTTTGTTGTATGTAATTGGATTACAGGGTCTATTTCGATTTTACGCACTGTACATTCCCCTGTCCCGTGACTGAACGAAATGTATCGTGTATGTGTGTGTGCGTGTGCGTGCGTGTGTGGTGATGGGAGGAGGGTCGGGGGCTGCAAGCAGCCACTGGAGCGGAAAGAGTGCTTGAGACGGGAGAGATGTAGATAACGCAGTGGAAAACAAACTTCAATTTTTCCGCAGATTTTTCAGAGCCATGCTCCCTCTGGTTTTGCACGTATCAAACATCTGATCGCTTTTGTTCTTTAAGAATATATTAATTGATGATATTGTCCAATTTCACGGCGAAAGACGGAGGTGTATTATCATACATGCATATGAATCAGTACTGCGTATTTTCCTGGCAGCGCCGCGCCACCCAATATGGCACACTATCATCTGCTTGCGTCTTGTGTTTTCTTTACTCCAGAATTGAGGGAATTTACCTGGAATATTTTCTTTTTACACACATTTTCTCTTTCTGCCTGTCACTGATGGTTGCGTGAGTTTGGCTGCGTGTCAGCACACCTGAGCCCATGTCTGAGTGCGGAGTGGAGAGGGATGGGTCGATAAATGGATACATGTCACTCATTCTTCTCTGTCATGATTTGGAAGGCTGCTTGTCATATGAGGGACATAAAACTGAGTCATATCCAGGTCAGGGATGTATGGGAATGTTACCCCAGGCCCAATAGGCCGGATCCAGGCCTGTTCAAAAGGAAGAGGGCTGAAATAATTATTGCAGTCGATGGAACATAGAATCAACTGGGAAATCAGGACCTTTGCTTATGTGCGGAGTTTTAAAGGCATTGACTCTTAACTCCAAAAAATGTTAAAAAGAAAATGTCTTGTGGTGATCTGCACCACCTTGTTCTCAACCACATTCCCTGAACTAAATGCAGTGTTTAATGAAAAAAAGGAAAATGTGGTTTATTATTTAAAGACAATTACTTTCATTATTTTTCTTTTGATAACTTCTCATTGCAATTTCTTCCAGCCTAACCAAATACTATAACATTATTATACTAATGATTTATGCTTGCATCTATACTAGCAATTGGAGTTTCTAACACAAATGCCGGAAATGGTTAATTCTGTTACTCTCAAACTCTGCAGAGGTGAAAAGTAACTACTGAAGTTAAGTACAAGTTTTCTGTGCTTAACGACAGAAAGCTTTGTATTTCTTTAAAGGAGTTTACAGACCTAAACCTTTACTTTTATTTCTGCTTGTTTTTAAATATTTTACTTAGTTACATTCGAAATCACAGACATCAATGAGTAAAAAAAAAAAAAAAAAAAGAAAAAAACGGCAGTAAAAAATGGCATTGATGCTTTTTCCAAGGTTACTAATCAGATCTCATCTTGTTGCATTAATTGGATGACAGAAGCACCAGGAAAAACTCAGAGCAAAGTTCAAGTTAACCTCTGAGAAGTAGAAGAAAACCCGTGATCCTACATGAGTGTGAGGAAGGCAACAGCTTTGTCCTACAGTGTAAGCTTAGTTTGATGTTCAATATTATGATCATGTAAATATTCCGAATAACATTACAGAGAAGAGAGGCTTCATAGATGTAGTGAAGGATGCAGAGGGTTTAGCATAATGGAGAAGGATGCTGAGATGATTACCTGTGTAGAAACCTAAAGACTGGGAGAAGAAGATAAATAAATGCATCATTAATAATTACACAAAAGTTTACAAAGCCAATCCACAATCCTAAAAGGCAACAAAAACATGAAGACTGATTGAAAGACACATTAGGGAATATTGCACTTCTGTTATTTTAGGGGTCAGCTCTGTTCATGAAATGTTTTCAAAAGAAAATTGTTGCTTTAATTATCATACATATTGTTAATTTGCCTTTTCTGTACTTAAATAATTTAGTTTGTGAAAAATTTGAAAAACTTTCTCATGTTGTCCATCACAGAGTTGGTGTATCATGACTCTAGCAATTAAATTTTTCCTGAAAGAAAGCAGGAAAAAATGTGCAGCTAATTACTGATACAATGACTTGAAAAAGTATTCATTCCCCTTGAATTTTTTCATATTTTGTCACATTACAATCACAAACATCAGTATATTCCTGTGGAATTTAATGTAAAAGACCAACACAAAGAGGTATTCAGTTATGAAGTAGAAAGACAATTACACGGGATTTGAAACATTTTTGTTCTGTAAGAATATATTAATTGATGATATTGTAACAAATAAAAAACTGAAAAGTGCGGAGTGTAACAGTTTTTAGGCACCTAGGGGTCTGTACTTTGTGAACATTCGTTTGCTACAATTTCAGTTGCAAGTGTTTAAGAGTTTGTCTCTACCGGATTTGCACATCTAGGGACTGAAACTTTTACTTATTCTTCTTTGCAAAACAGCTCAAGCTCAGACAAATCAGATGGAGGGCGTCGGTGAACAGCACTTTTCAGATCCTGCCACAGATTATTGATTGGGTTTAGGTTTGGACTTTGACTGGCCCATTCTAACACATGAATATGTTTTGTTTTAAACTATTCCATGTTTTTTTTCTTTGTTTTAATCAATGACGTTCTTTCTTGCCACCCTTCCATAAAGAACACATTTACTGAGTGAGTAAATAATAGTTGTCCTGTGGACAGATTCCCCCACCTGACCTGTGGATTTCTGCATTTCGTCCAGGGTCATCATGGGCCTCTTGGCTTCATCTCTCATCAGTCTGTATGTTTAGGTCAACGGCTTTGTCTTGCCAGGTTTACAGTCATCCTATTTCCACTTCTGAATGATGGATTGAACAGTGAGATTTCAAACCCTACATTGCTTGAAACTTCTGAACTTTATTCCCAACCTGTCTTGTCCCCAAAATGAACTTTGCAGTTTATTTGGAGATCTGTGCAGATTGGAAAATTTGTAGAACTCTTATGAGTCTGACACTTATACTGCATACAAATAAAATGCGATTGTTTCAAAACTGTACACAGTTAAAATGGAAGCTCATCTTACCAGTCTTCTGTGAAAATGCTTCACAATATATACAATAAGTCTTATGTTCCAGGCATAATTTCCTCCAACATCAGATTGGACTGAAGTGCATTGTTTCTATGCTTTTAGAACTCTGCAGAATAACCTCTACACATCACTTTGAAGCTAGGTTGCTATCATCATTGTGCTCAGACAAGCAGTATGTTTCTTTATTGTGGAGTGTTTGGTAGATGAATGCAGCACAAACGTGAGAAAAGAAAAGAAGTCACTCTGCCTCACATTCTGTCTGAACATTTTGTTTATTTTGAACACGCTCACTTCGTTGGCCAGTTGGTGTGATGTACTGTTTCTAAGGCAAAGCATTCAGACAAATTCGGTTCTTACCAAAGCGAGAAAAATGACAACAAAACTGACATGGCAGTTTCTAAAATGAACCAAAACCCCAAAAGTGTGCTCACAAAAACCTGAAGGGATAATGTTGCCTTGCGCTTTTACGCTCCTTGCTCTATAGAAAACACAAGCATTTGAATGTTCGTGGTTTAGCATAAGAGATGTCATGCAGTCTAATTAAATGTTGACTGCATGCTATAGGTTTTTTAAGTCTGGCCAGCAGTGAATGTCACGATTTCAGGGAATCTTACTGACACAATCAAAGGTGGCAACGA